TAATATTGTTTTTATTTTTTTTTTTTTTTTTTTTTTTTTTTTTTTTAAAGATTTATTTATTTATTATGTACACTGTGTTCAGCCTCCATGTATGCCCTCAGGCCAGAAGAGGGCACCAGATCTCATTACAGATGGTTGTCAGCCACCATGTGGTTGCTGGGAATCGAACTCAGGACCTCCGGAATAGCAGTCAGTGCTCTTAACCTCTGAGCCATCTCGCCAGCCCAATTGTTTTTATTTTTATATTGCATTAATTCTAGAAATTTTTGTTGCACATATAGAAGTATTCAAATTTTGATAGAAGTATTGTGCGTGTTTTGAGGCTATGAAAAAAAAATTCCGTCCCTTCTCATGAATTGCTCATAGTTTAACTTAGAAATGGAAGCATAGGCAAGTTAGTGCTCAGTTCTTGGGCAAGAGAGGCAGGAAAGATGCCACGAAAGAGTTGTTCTTTGAGCTATTTTAAAAGATGAATGGGGGTTTGGAGAGATGGCTCAGTGGTTAAGAGCACTAGTTGTTCTTGCAGAGCATGTGGATTGGGTTTGCTGCACTCGAATGATGACTCAAAACTGTATTACCAGTTTCAGGGGATCTGCTGCCTTCTTCTGGCCTGTAAGGGCACTCTACACACATGGTGCATATACATGAACATAGGCTTACACACATTCTCATTTTCTTTTAAGTGAAAAGGTTTCTCTACACATAAGATGAGATTAAAATAAATTCTCTAGGCAATTGTCTTATAGCATTCTAATCATGGAGAACTTCGTGAGCAAGCAGCAGAAAACTGGCTTTCAGGTGAGTTCAGTGTGGTTAGAGAGTAGTGAATGAATGGGTTTATAGTGGGATGTTACAGTGAGAGCTATCAGGAACCAATCTCAAGAAGGTTGTGTTATTGTTTTTTACATGTATTTATTTAGCATGCTGTGAGTGGGGAATGTACCCTGGCATGTATGCAGGGGTCAGAGAATAACTTTGAGTTGGTTCTCTCCTTGTACCATCTGAGTCCTGGAGATCAAGCTCAAAGAAAGCATTAGAGCTCAAGTTCCAGTGACCCAAAAAGTTGCCTATATGACATATAGATTCATAGCTTTTCTCAGATTCTCAAAAGGATAAACACCCATTTATATAAAAAGGGGCCAAGAAGCCATGCCAATAAAGAAAGTAGAAAAGATTAGAGAAAGTCATGCCTTGAGCGCTAAGGAATGTAAGGTCGTGACTACTGCTATAGAAGAGAGGTCAGATTAGCTGAGAACAGAAGACTCAGCTGGCTTGGTAGTTAGGTTGTAAAGTGGAGTTAAATGCATATGTACTTAAGCTTCACAAAGACCATGGCTTCTAAGAATTGTAAGAAGTATTGGAGTGCCCAACAGTAAATAGGGTTTACTGTTTAGTAAATAGGGTTTAGGGTTGCCCACAGTTACTTGTTAGCATTAGCATTGCAATTTTCCTCTCCCTTCAACATGACTGCAAACTGAACAGATCCATCTTGTAACTGGTTTTGTTTTTTTGATGCTTTATTACAAGCCACCACTTTTGCTTTCATCTTGCCTACTGTGTTCTATACATACACACAAAAAGGCAGCCTTTGATAGTAGTCTTTCTGCTTTCTTTGTTCTCTTTTCGAATTGTCTGACCCCTACTGATTACCATCTTTCTGTTTTAATAGTATTAGTTATGTTATTTTGGCATTTAAAATTGAATTGACCTCCACTGATATTTATTTCACATATTGTTTCACATATTGTTTGTTTATTTCATATATACATCTGAGGTATGCTAAAAGCCAAAAAGGTTTTTGGCTTTAATTTTGAATTATAGGTTATTGAATTAATTAAATTTGTCTTATAAGTCCGTGGTTTTTATAAAGTAATCTTATTTTTCAAAAATAAAGTCTTTTTTTAGATTTTAAAAATGAGATATGCTTATAAAAGACTACAAACCAGAAATAAAATATTAATATTTTCATACTGTTTTGCCAAAATCAATCTTGTTTTTAAAGTATATTTCCTGTACAGGAATTGATTAGTTACCAATGTGGTTGATATATGTATATAAAAACTTCAGTCATTTTAAATACAAGTGACTTATCTAAGATTAACCATTACAGTTATTTGGGAAGTGAACTTCAATGATGTTTCTTTTCATTTGAGTGGTAATTTAATCATGCAGCCTAGAGCCAGTACTTGTCTTTTATTATTTTCTGCAGTAAAAGTGTTGTGTTGCTTTCTTCTGCTATCAAAAGTCAAAACTTAAGAGTTATAGGGAATAGATGAGTTCAGAAAATGCTAGTTGGATCTCATAACTAGTTTTATGTAGGTAGATCTGGTATCAACAGTACTAAATTATCATTACTTGACTGAAGGAAAAAAATCTTTAGGCCTTAGGCCCAATTAGACACACTTTGGTGTATATCCAGGCTTCCTATTTCTCCTTTCTGTAATGACCATATATACATAACATACATACATACATGCATACATGTATTATGATCATATAGTTTGTGTACTATATATCATCAGATCATAATTAAATACATTTTAATAGAAAAAGCCCAAACATATTTTGAACAGTTTTCAAAATGAAACAGTTCTTTTAATTCATATGAATTATGATAGATGAATAGGACATAAAAAACTAAGGTACTGATAATGAGGATAAGATAAGCTCACTTGTGGGAGTGCAGTTGTTCTTGAACTGAGTTTGTACTTTAGCAGTATACCAAAGACCCTGAGTCATTTGTGTTGAAGTCATGGGCTAGGGATGGGGTTATAACATGGTGTAATGCTTGTCTGGCATGTGTCAGTCCAGAGTTTGAGCTCTAGTACTGTGTGTGTTTTGGGCAGGGGAATGATTAGTAGGTACTAAAACAACTATTATATTCATTCCTACTTAATAGTAAAAGTTAACTGAAATTTTCATAGGCAAATTTATTGCAATAAATAAGTAATTTTTTTAAATATCCACAAATTAAGAAAACACTGGACAGCAAGATGGCTTAGTGCGTAAAGGCACTTGCAATCAAGCTGGACAAGCTGAATTTAATCCTTGGGACCCACCTGGTGGAAGTAGAGAACCTACTCTTGCATGTTGTCATCATTCTGCACACATGTATTATGGTACATGTATATGTACTATACAAATATATACATATACACAAATATATATATATGTCGTGGGAACTCCTTTAACCAATAACATTTAAGATACTGGCCCACTTTGGGCATGGTCTATGTGTGGCCCTTTTTCTGCTACATTCAGTTCCAGTTCCCAGCACACACAGAGGACTATGGATCACTACTCTTACTGTTAGTTTATCCCCAAATAAGCCTTTGTTATACTCCATTCCAGGCTATTGTGGAACTCTTTGGTACAACTACAATTCAGGTCCCACATTGGGCGCCATTTTCAAAATGAAGACTGCCTTTGTTTCCTGACTGCCAAGACCCGAATAATCATACATAAACTATATTTATTACAGCCCTGCTTGCCCAGCATCTTAGGAGTATTCCTACCTAACTCTTATATCTTAAATTAACCCACTTATATTAATCTGTGTATCACCATTAGGCTATGGTTTACCATAAGGTTTCAGTGTCCTCCTTTTGCAGCTACATGGCATCTCCTTGACTCCACCTACTCTCTGTATCTCTGTTCTGATTTCCCACCTGGCCATATTCTGCCCTGCCATTGGCCAAAGCAGCTTCTTTATTAACTAGTGTAATAAAACATATTCACAGCATACAGAGAGAAATCCCATAGAAGATGTCATGTAAAAAAGTTAAAAATAACAAATGTTTAATCACCATAGTTATTTATTTTTTTAGTTTTATGTGTGTTGGTGTTTTGCCTATATCTATGTCTGTGTGAGGATGTCAAATAACTGGAGTTATAGGCAATTGTGAATTGCCATGTGGGTGCTAAAAATTGAACCCAGGTCCTCTGGAAGAAGAGCCCTTGCTCTTTAACTAGTGAGCCATCTCTCCAGCCTCCCATCCACCTTGATATTTTAGGAGCATTTCTGAGCTTACTTTACCTTAGGTTCCGTGGTTATGTGCTAGCTGTTCTAAGACGAAGAAATTACTGAAAGACATCACTTTAGAATTTACTATTATTGTACATGAACTGCCTTTAAATTAGGCCCTTAGCAGAGTCAGCTGACCTTAAGGAAAGAAACAGTCACTGTGTGTAAAAGAGACTTCAGAAACCATGGTGGCCAATAACATTCTAGGTGATAAGAAGTGGATCTTTGCTGTCCTTCATGCCTCCTACTTAAGCTACACAGGTTTCTCTAAATGAGGTCTGCATTTATTAAAAATGTTAATATCTGGTAGAAACTATGATGTGAACTGCAGTGTTATTTTAATTTCTTGGTAACCACATACAAAGTAGTAATTGGTTTCAATAATATATTTAATTCAATATCTGTAAAATGTTTCAACCTTACAGGCATATTTAAAGGTATATTTTGCACCTCCCATTCTTGAAATTCAGTGCAGTATTTATGCACAAAGAACATCATTTGAGTATAGCCACATTTCAGGTTCTCAGTAGCTACATGTGGCTTACAGTGATTATCCAGCTTATCTTTAGAACATCTAAGGGATGTGTGGCCATGACATTGAGGATATAAATTCCCACATATCCAGTGAACATTATTATAGCCCTTAGAGAATACATGGTACTATGCTGGCCATATGAGCCACTAGCCTAATGTTTGCTTTGGGACCATCTGTTTCCATGATCAAGGTAAATAATTTTTTGTTTGACCTAATACTGTTTGAAATCATAGGTTTCTGTGCCTTTATCTTTCTCTAGATAGGATGCTTTGGTCTCTTGTCAGATGTTACATCCCATTAAATAGTGTTTCAGATAGCACACAAAAGTTCTGTTTATCTGACTTACACTTTACTTGGCTCTTCATGTATTTTAAATTATTAAGAGAAATGCCACTATAGAGACTGTCATAATCTGAATTGTATTTTCTTTTCTATTTTAAGGATGTAGAATATTACCTTGTAAAATGGAAAGGATGGCCAGAGTCTACGAATACTTGGGAGCCCTTGAGCAACCTCAGGTGTCCACAACTGCTACAGCAGTTCTCCAGTGACAAGAATAGTTTCTTATCTCGGGTAAAGAAAGGGAAGGCAATCACTCCAAAAAACAGTAGGAAATCCTTGCCACCTGCTGTCGCTGAGTACATTGTAAAGAAAGCCAAGCAAAGAATAGCTCTCCAGAGATGGCAAGATTACCTCAACAGAAGAAAGAACCACAAAGGGATGATATTTGTTGAAAATACTGTTGACTTGGAGGGCCCACCCTTAGACTTTTACTACATTAATGAATACAGGCCAGCTCCAGGAATCACCATAAACAATGAAGCTACCTTCGGATGTTCATGTACAGACTGCTTCATGGGAAAGTGTTGTCCTGTTGAGGCCGGAGTTGTTTTGGCTTATAATAAGAACCAACAAATTAAAATCAAACCTGGCACTCCCATCTACGAATGTAACTCAAGGTGTCTATGTGGACCTGATTGTCCCAATAGGATTGTACAAAAAGGCACACAGTATTCACTGTGCATCTTTAGAACTAGCAATGGTTGCGGCTGGGGTGTAAAAACCCTTGTGAAGATTAAAAGAATGAGTTTTGTCATGGAATATGTTGGAGAGGTACATTAAATTTCTCCTATGGATATGAGCTTTATACTTTCAAAAAGTTACCTTTCTACCTTATTAATGTAAATACGTGATACGTTTTGATGTTATCATTTGCAGATATGTAGAAATTCATTTTCAGGTTTAGGAGAAAGGTTCACTGGTATAGTTAAAAATGTAGAACTTTTTATATGAGCAAATAGATAATAAAATAAGTTAATAGTTGGCATTCATTCATAACCACTGACTGAAGCATATTTTTTAAAATTTATATATATGTGTGTGTGTGTGTGTGTGTGTGTGTGTGTTTAGTTTTTCAAGACAGGGTTTCTCTGTGTAGCCCTGTCTGTCTGGAACTCACTCTGTAGACCAGGCTACCTTGAACTCCAGAGTGCAGAGTGCTGGGATTAAAGATGTGCACCACCACCACCTGGCGCCCATATTTTTAAAAATTAACTATATTTACACAGAAATCTTAAGAAGAAAGTCAGGCCTACCTACATAAATGCTGACATTGAAACTTTGAAGTTACATTTATTTCATTATTTGGTCCAGTATGATTAAATTTCTTTTCTGTTTTGTATCAGTATGAAGGACATTACTGAGCAGAAAATATTTTTAGTATTATCAAATATGTATAAAAGCATTTATTGCCAGGCGGTGGTGGTGCATGCCTTTAATCCCAGCACTCGGGAGGCAGAGACAGGTGGATTTCTGTGAGTTTGAGGCCAGCTTGGTCTACAAGAGCTAGTTCCAGGATAGGCTCAAAAGCTACAGAGTAACCCTGTCTCCAAAAACTTTTTTTAAAAAAGCATTTATTATAATAATAACTAAATAAACACTACCCTGAACTGCAGAGCATTCTCTGATTACCAAATCCTAGCATATTTCCTTTGATAACTATCATATGCATAAGTGTTAACATAGTACTCATCATGGGCCACAGCTAAGCACCTTAGTATATTAGCCCCCTAATCTTCAAGTTTCTGAAAGAGGACTTATCTCCACTATTACAAATGAAGAAACAGGCACAGAGAATTTTAGCTAAGAATATACATCACTTTGGCTAGTGTTGATGTCTTCAGCTGAACACTGACCAAGCTGTGACAGATTCCATGGTAACAGGGATGTTTGGAACCTAGCCAGTGCCTGATGCTTGAAGCTGAATTACATCCCCAGCCCTAGGCCATGATTTTGAGCTGAAGCTTCTGTACTGAAAAACAAAGCTTTCCAAATGGCTCATTGCATGTATAACATAAAGCCTGTTGTATAACAAGTTTCCATGTGTTATTCCTCATAGGACATTGGTTCTCAACCTGTGGGTCGCAACACTTTGGGGATCGCAAAGCAGATATTTACATTATAGTTCCTAGCTATAACAAAATTACAATTATGAAGTAGCAATGAAAATAATTTTATGGTTGGGGTGACCTCAGCATGAGGAACTGTATTAAAGGGTCGCAGCACCAGGAAGGTTGAGAGCCACGCTGGAGAGCCTTTTGAGAATGCATACTCTTGTGAAGGTAACCTTGTTCCTCTGTCCTGTCGAGCATAGGTGGGCAGCTCTTTGCACACAGGATTATAATGCAGGTAGTACAGAACCATATATCAGCTTATATCAGATTTCATTTTCAGTAGTCCTCTATACCATCACTTTCCCTCATTTCTATACTGTTTTTCTATCTAGTTTTTAGTTCATATGAATGTTTGTTTTGATGACACTTGAATTTCTTTTTAAATATTTGTATCAATGTTAGTAGCTTAATAATGCTTCTTTGGCTCCACAGTGGCTGTATAATATTCTGTGGTTTTACAGAGCACTGTGTCACCTGTAGTCCAAGCTATGCAAGAAATGGAGGTAGAAAGATCTTTGGAGTTTAGAAGTTTGAGAGAGCCTGTCACAAAAAGAAAAACAAAACTACAGTTCTGCTGTTTCTCCCCACCTTAGGTGATCACAAGTGAAGAGGCTGAGAAGCGTGGACAGTTATATGACAACCAAGGAATCACCTATCTTTTTGATCTGGACTATGAATCTGATGAATTCACAGTGGATGCAGCGCGATATGGAAATGTGTCCCATTTTGTGAATCATAGTGTAAGGAGCAGTAAGACAAATAGTTCAGTTTAGTGCTGTTTGGATGATTTCTCCTTAACTGGAAGATAACTTTTTATATAGCCATTCATAGTATTTTAATATGAGGGCTTCTATTAAGTCAGGACATTATTGCTATAATATAACATAGATATTGAGGTGTTTACCAATTACTATGTTCTCCTAGTCTTTATATCTCACTTCATTTAAACTTTCCAATAACTTTATAGGGTAGATAGGTAACTTCATAGCAGAAGAGAGCAATTAATAAGCAAAGGAGTTAAGCAAAAGTTTTGAAGACTGAACAAAGTTATCTTATAGAAGTTAATACTACTAAATTGTACTGTGTGCAGTAACCCTTTACCTTAGCCACATTTTATTCTCCATATTTTCAGTTTCCTACTTAACTGTAGTCCAGAAATACCCAGTGGGAATTCTAGAGATAATCCATTCTTAGTTTTAAGTTGTTTGCTATTCCTATAAGTAGGTGAAATCATCTGCTGGAGACTTGACCCATCCTTTTGTTCAGGGTATATACACTGTAGATGCTACCTCTCTGGGTTATCAGGTCAACCATTACAGTATTATTTGTGTTCAGGTGACATTATTTTACTCAGGAATTGCCCAGAAGCACAAGATTAGTAATGCTAGCAATTTGGATTTGCCCAAGTGTTTCCTTTAAGCCACAAGGCTAAAGTACAATAAGATATTTTCATAGAGACACAACAGTCATATAACTTAACATTGTTCCGTTTTTGTTATTTGTTAATCTCTTACTCTGTCTGGAAGTTATAAGTATATATGTATAGGACAAACCCCTACAATATAGGGTTTGGTACTATCACCAGTTTCAGTCATCTGAGGATAAGGAAGGACTACTGTGCAGTTTAAGGTAACAGAGTTGTTTTGAATGTCAGTGTGTTAATACTACATTAAAGCATTTAGGATTATTTCCCTAAATTATAAAGTAGTATTCTTTAATTTTTAGTTCATGTTTTAAAAAGTTAGATCTGCAGTCTTTTCAAGATTTTATTTGTGTATGTGTGTATATATGTGCATAGGTGCCTGTGGAGGTCAGAGGGGCAGGAATCAGACCCCCTGGAGCTGAAGTTACAGGTGTTTGTAAGCCTAATGGGGGTGCTCAAAACTGAACTCAGGTCCTCTGCAAGAGCAACAAGTGAGTGCTCTTAATTGCTGAGCCATCTGGCCAGACCCCTAGAACCACAATTCCAGAATCTTCTACTTTATAAAACTTGTTTCCAAAACTAAGGACAATAATAATTATTGGGCACGTTCTAAGTACCAGACAATAAACCCAGTGAGGTTAGTACTTTTGGCATTTTATATATACGTGGCAGATAATAAAAGAAGTATGTCTTAGATAGTATGACATGTAGCCAAGTTAAAATGTGTGGTGGATTGCTTACCAAGAATTGTATGTGAATCTCAGTGAAATGTAAGAGACTGTCTAGACTTCCTTTTTGGTTGCCTAATTTGTTTAAATGTTTGTAAAATAATTTCTTAATGACAAATTTGAGATTTAGCCATCCTCAGTATCTTAGGGGATTGATTAGTCATGAGACCCCCTGCAGGTGCCAAAATCCTTATTAGTTCCTTATGTTAAATTTGAGACATATATAATAACTCATAATCCTCTTTTATCCATTAAATCATATGTAGATTACTTCTAATGCCTATTAGAATATAAATAGTTGTATTCACAGACTGAGGACAAGATCACTCAGCCTGTACATATACAAGACTATGGTAGGATTTTTCTTTTCTAGTTGACTCTGCAGTTGGTTGAGTACAGACATGGAACCTATGAGTACAGAAGGCCACTCTACCACCAACATATACTTCCTCTTTGGGGAAGATTAAACACCAGTTTAAATTTCTTGGTTTGACTCCCTAGATCTTTCTTCTTGCATATTCTCTAGTTTAGTGTTCCCAAAATACTGAACAAGTTCAAATAAAAGTTTAAGCAATGAAACTATGTAATATAAAATTTGAGTTCCATGGTGCTGATTTTATTTTAAAATAGTTATTTAAAGTATCTATACACACATATTATTGAAATAGTTACAAGTAAAATGTTCATGTTATAGATGGATTAAAATTCTCCAGAAAAAAAAGCTATGACAAAAGTGACATATTGGATACTTGATTTACCTTTTTCTATGATTGAGAGCTTCTTATTTATGAAAAGTGTATTTTGAATGTGCATGCCATCGGGAGCGTTGTTGGCAGTTCAGTGGGCATGTGGGAGGCTAACTCACCCTGTGCTGTGGCGCGCAGACGGCACCGTTGTGCCAGTCTTACCTCAGCAGCTTTTCTTCTCTTCAGTGTGACCCGAACCTTCAGGTGTTCAGTGTCTTCATCGATAACCTTGATACTCGGCTTCCCAGGATAGCACTGTTTTCCACGAGAACCATAAAAGCTGGAGAGGAGCTGACTTTTGATTATCAAATGAAAGGTATGGTTTTCAAGAATAATTTCATTGGTATTGGTTTCAGTATGACAATGAAGGCAAGCCAAAACTAAGGTCGAAGGTAAAAAAAATCGGGCAGGGGGAGGACACACTAAATAAATATATGTGGAGAAGATGGAACACATTACTCTGTACTAATTTAGAAATCTTTAAAAATGAAAGTAATTGGTGTGTGTCTGTCATCTTAAGGTCCAAAGCCCATCTGACAACTAAAGCTGGCTCACAGTCTGTCCTCTACGTCACTGTACTGATTTTCTTAGGACTTCCATTTTGGAAGCTGATTTACAACACCTTTTCTCAATACTATTAATATTAGTAAAAATAAAAAGGTTTTCAATTTTTATTAATAGATAAATATTAACAAGATTGAAAGTATGATTTCAATTACATATGAATTCCTTCTTGAATATAGCTTTTTAAAGTATTTAATTATATTGCCTATATTGTGATTATGAATATTTTCTATGAACAATGTGCTTTACGTGCTATTCCTACTTGGCCTCACTGCCTGTGCTTTTCATGGTGTATAAAAAGAATAATTATATGGGGCTGGAGAGATGGCTCAGAGGTTAAGAGCATTGCCTGCTCTTCCAAAGGTCCTGAGTTCAATTCCCAGCAACCATACAGTGGCTCACAACCATCTGTAATGGGGTCTGGTGCCCTCTTCTTGCCTGTAGGCATACACACAGACAGAATATTGTATACATAATAAATAAATAAATACTAAACAAAAGAAAAAAATGATGCTGCAGGTTAACCTTTAAAAAAAAAGAAAGAATAATTGTACATTGGACTTTCTCTTACACTCTGGTTTCTCTTCGGATTGTATAAATCTTTCACCTTTTTTCACTGAACTTTCTCAGTGAATGTCATCATGGCAGATAATTCACATTAGCCTATCCCATTGTTTCAAGACAACTCAGAACAAATTGTCTTAGGATTTCACAGAAGTACAAAGCTATTTCCTTGAAAGTTAACCAATGCCTTGAGAAAGTAATCACCATTGCTAGCTTCAGGAAAACCAGGGTTACACAAAGAAACCCTGTCTCAAAAAACCAAAACCAAACAAAACAGAAGATTGAAAGTCTATTCTAAAGTATCTTTTATGGTTGGGACTGGATCTCACTATACAGCCCTGGCTAGTCTGGAACTCACTGTGTAGACCAGGCTGGCCTCAAACTCAGATCTACCTGCCTCTGCCTACCCAACCATGCCCAGCTAAAATATCTTTTTTAAAATAAAGATTTGTGTGGTGTGTTCATGTGAATATGGGTACCCAGAAGGGGGCATGGGATCCCCTGGAGCTGGAGTTTGAGGCAAAAGTAAGCTGCCTGACGTGGGTACCAGGAACTAAACGCTGGTCCTCTAGAAGAGGACTACTCTACCTGCTGAGCCATTTTCAAGCCCCTATTCTAAAATGTTTCCCTCTCTTGTGTTTTCAGGTTCTGGAGAATTGTCTTCAGATTCTGTGGACCACAGCCCTCCCAAAAAGAGGGTCAGAACTGAATGTAAATGTGGGGCTGAGACTTGCAGAGGTTACCTCAATTGAAACTTCAGGAAACGGAGCACAGGATTGTGTTTTGTTCTAAGAACTGAAAAAGTATTTTCTATTATCAAGGTTATATGTATGTTAATGTACAACTTGTGTCTCAAGATATTTGCAAAGTACATTACTGTTGCTTTTGAAGAGGACTGCAGGGGCTGGCCACATAAACAGAATATATTTGGTGGTTACATACTAAACATGGAAAGTGAACTACTTCTTAATAGGCAAGTATCCCCTTTAGTGTCTAAAAAGCAATGAGGCAATGGCTGTTGATATAAAACCTTTTACCATGACTCAGATAATTCAGTTTAGGCAAATGTACAAATTTTATTTTATTTTTTTACTATATTGTTCCTGCTTAATATTCACTGATCTTGTATTTGAGACAAGTAAGCGGCACTGAATTTTTTTACTGAATTTTCTACTTTTACATTAAAACATCGACATCTTAATGATATATTTCAGGTATAAAAAGAAATGTGAAAGATACTCTTTTAGCTTGATAACATTCTAAAGCAATAGAGACCATTACAAAGACTGTATGTCTGAACCTGAAAGTCTTAGATTTTTAATCCTGCTGAAGAAAAATCTCTAATCACCTTCTCTAGAAGTCCATAGTGGCTGGCCATTATGCTTCTTTGCAAGGACATAGCAGTGTGGCGAAGAGGACCCGCTGGGAGTGCCAGGCAGGGCAGATGAGTACAGAATGAGCCACAGCGTGAACCGAGGTCACACTAAGTAACTCTCATCTGAACAGAAGTGCAACAGCCTCGGAGAGCACTTGTCCCTAATGGCAGTGTAATTCACATCACATTACTTCCACTGCCTGGCAGTTTTAATAGTTCCTTTCCACTAAATTTAATTATTTTTGCATTTTCTGTATGTCCTTGAAAAATATCCTATATTTGAACAGATATTGTTTTATACAAGAATTTTTAAATGGATAATACTGAGTTTGGCCAAAGTTATGTCTTATTGAATTTTTATTAATCTGTGGGGATTAGATGGGATTTTCCCATGTATAAAACACAATAAAGAAAAAACTTACTTTCATCTTTTTGGGTCTGGGAATTCTAATCATGGTGTCCAGTGTGAAGACCAAAAAAGAAAAAAAAGAAAGAAATGGCAGCAAATAATCCTTTCAGTGTCCTGATTAAGATTTACCTAAGCTCACTGCTCTGGGCCTTAATAGGCTGTAATAAGCTCAAGTAAAATGAACTGAATCCAGGAATTCAGCACTTCCTTTATCTCCTCTTAACCTGTTTTGGGAGAAGCTACAATGTTATTCAGAATATTGCCTTCACAAGGCTACTTGTTCACAATACATAGAATACACTGTTTGCATATTTGAGATCTCATTCTATGTTTGCTACTCAGAATTTTCAGAATGTGTCAAGAAAATATATATATATATTTTTTAAATTGCATTTTTTTTTTTTTGGTTTTTCTTTGAGAATTTTAAAAGCATTCTAGGTGTGGTTTTCTTCTCCCCAGATACCAAACTCACTTTGAAGTATTCTCAGGCTTAAAGACCAGATTTTTAAAAAAAAAAAAAAATTCAGTGTTTTGATTTCCAAGATATTTGGTCTTATTTACATTCAGGTTAAAAGAAAAGAGAGGACAGAGGGGAAAGGATTATGTTTAATAAACATGTGGCTTTGTTTTGTCCTTACTAATAGAAATTTAATGGGTCCTGATTTTGTGGGTTGGGGGTAGGTCTTGAAGTAGGGTAGCGTGTGGCTCAGGCTAGCCCTGAATTTTCTGTGAAGCTAGAGATTATCTTGAACTATTACTCGCCTTCCTCTACCTCCTGCTGCTGAGAGTACAGGCATGTGCCACCATGCCCAGTTTAAGATTTTTACCTTTAAAAAAAAAGACAAAACAAGTACACAGAAGTTTCATTCTAAGTTCCACACGTGTAATGTACTGTGCTTCTATCCACACTGTTCCATTACCTCTTTACCCCCCATTCCTCCACTGCCTTCCTTTTATACCTTCACCTTGTGATAGCTGTTTATCTAAAGAGATGTGTGTATGTAGACACACTTGTGGCTGTGATAAAGGTCATCAGTTCATCTCCAGCTTGGTTCCTTCATTTCACATGTCCTGAGTGTATAGTGGCTTCAGCAACAGGAACTTGGAAATAGTCCTGACGGGAAGTTAAGCAGGAGCAGAGACTGAACTCTGCTTACTGGCTTTCTTACACAGCCCAGGCACATGGGCCTAGGGATGGGATTGCCCACAGCCTTTAAGAAAATCCTCCACATACCACAGGCCGATTTGATGGACACAGTTCCTTAATTGAGGTTCCCTCTTCCAAGGTGACCCCAGGTTTCTCAAGTTGACAGCTGAAGCAAACTATGATAATGTATTTTGCATATTTGACTCTTCACTAAAGTCAATGTGGCTAGCCACTAGATTTCTTGATGTATCTTGGCACTTTAAAGCTCTTTAACCTTCGATACTATATAACCTTTGAAAATGAAGTCAGCACCACACTTTTGTTTTGATGCTGTTGGTAATGAGGTCTCATCATACAGCATCATAGAATGCTCAAGAGCCCTGACACTGGAAGCCCCCGTTGCTAGTGTCTGAGTCCTGGCTTTATTTATTGCTTACTAGCTTTGTGAACTAATCTGTGTGCCTTAGTCTCATGTCTACCTCAAAGTGTGGCTTCACAGATTAAAGCTTTATAAAGTGGTTTTTATCACAGAATAAACACCATATATAAATGTTTCCTATTGTTATTCTGTATTCAAAACATAACCTGTAAAAACTGATCATGTAGATTGATCTAAATCTACTCTTTTGTTCTTAGCTCTCTAACTCCTTCAGCCAGTGTTTGTACCAGGCTTAAGTCCTAAAACATGAACATTACAGTTATAAAATATTAGACATACATTCAGAACAATGGTGGCATGTTTTGAATGCTTACTTTGGATCAGCCCAATTCTTGGGCTGAGATTTATGGCTCAGTTAAAAAACAAAACAAAAATAAAGTTAAAGTATTAGTGAATATATTCAAATGCATAGTTATATATACATATATTCTAAGTCATATACCCACTAGGTTGGGACTAGTAATTCCTGATCTAATTGCCATGTAGCACAGTGATGATCTGTGACATTCAGTTTAATCTGCACATTGTGAGATTCCATTTAAGCTTATTTTAAGTGGTATGCCTATATATATCTTTTTTCTTGACTTGTAAAATGTCAGCATAGTAAAGTGCTTATGAAGATGTTTATTAAGATTTATTAAATTCATATACATCAATACAAAAGCATTGTACTTTAAGGTAATTTCACAATTCACAGAGCATTTTCCTTTACATTGTAATTGTTGTAGTTTCAGTTGTATCATTGTATTGGTGGCCTTTGTATTTACTAAAACAGTTCTTGATAAGTTGCCCAGGCTTGACCTCCTGTCTCAGCCTCCAGAACAGTGAGAACACACCTTGCCTAGCTCACTGGTGATTTATAAGGTTTTTATTTTATGTGTGCTTTGCCTGCCTGTCTGTACACACACCTGGGTGTGCCTGGGTCCTCGGGATGGTCACAGACAATTGTGGGCCACCATGTACGTGCTGGAAATAGCAAGCGTTTTGCTGAGCCATCTCCCCAGCCCTGCCTCTGTGCTATCAGTTTACTCTAACAGGGCTGCCTTTTCTTCTAGACTGCTTGCCATGATTTAGGATACAGTGTATCTTGGTGGAATGGTCTGCACATACTTGAAGAGATGTATTCTGCTGTGAAGTAAAAGTTTTATCAGATCTAGTTATCTGGTGGTGGTCAGTTTTTGTATTTTGTATACTGATTTAATGTATATATACCATTTTCTCTAAGAGAAGCATGTTAAAATTTTTATATTTGTGTATTATCTGGTCTCTTTTTCTGGAGGGCAGTACTGGTGATTGAACCTAGGACTACATACATGCTAGGCAAGAGCTCTATCATTCCATTGTCTTGGTGAGTTAGACAATTTGTCTAGGACAGTATCTGCTCTTATTATAGTCTCTCTGGCTTCATACTTACATTGTCCTTTTACTTTTAACTTTACATCACTTGAATTGCGCTTTCTGTAAACAGCATAGTTGACTTAGATTTTTCCCTGAGTCTGTGTTTTTATGACTCTCTTTACATCATTTGCATTTATTGTGAGAATTAACGTGTTTAGATTTAGTTCTACAATCTCATGCAACACTGGTTTTGACCCTGTCATTTGAGCATACTTTAGTATTCCATTCTGATCCATTATTATACCAATGTATCGCTTTGTGTAGGTTTTTTAGTGGTTGCTCTAACAGGTGTGTCTAACCTGCAGGCCATATACATCCACAGCTATGAGTGTGGCCCAGAAATTTGTGTATGACATTGTGTTGCAGCATCAAAATTAGGGTTTTAATTCTTAAATATCTAAGAGTGAGCATTTTCTTTTCTCAACAACTATACTCTCACCTGTTGCCAGTTTTCCATATAAATACTGTAAATGCTCTGGTTTAGGAAGCTCAGCCTCTGGAGTTGAAGGGATTTCAAAATCAGAGGAGCTCTGTGAATCCGCATGTATGCTGGTTAGTAATGTTTTCTCCTCAGGTGGGGATTTCTTGCCACTCACAGTATCTGGTTCTCCAATGTGAGGACCTCCATTTACTTCATCTCTGCTTTTCGAATCACAGTAAGAATCCTGTGGACCATGTGCATTCTGTTCCATTTGAGAGGCGGAAATATTCTCTCTGCTTTTTGGTGTGTAGGCATCTCTGTTCAAAGATGTGCTATCCCCAGCACTTCTCTCTTGGGACGATAACAAAACAGTATCACCCTGACTGTCCCAGCCTTGACTTCCTTGATCTGTTATGTGTGTTGACTGAGATGAATTCTGGGAAGAGATGTGAGTGGATTCTCCATCAGAGTCAGTGAGGAGCCTTGGTGACTGAGATTCCCCCGTCTCTATGGAGGAAGGTAAATTTTCCAAACATTCATCTGTGACATCATCTTTTCTTTTGAAGAACACTTCCCACTGTGGTGTGTCTGCATCAGCATTTTGCTGGGGGACTGTTGCAGGGCCCAGACCTCCCTGCAGTGAAGGCGGGGTTTCTAACTCTTCTTCAGTGTCACTGTTAGATTCTTCACAGTCTATGAAGTTGGCCAGAGAAACCTTCTGCATACTGTCTGCTTTGTAGCACCCAGGGCTGTGTTTCAGTTCAGGCTGGTCTTGTGGCAATGCCTTCACTGGAAATACCTCAGGATGAAGAGTTAGCTGGTATGGAACTTTGTGCCTTAACGGTATTGGTAGAGGGTCATCAAAGAGATCATCTTCCTCCTCTGAAAAAAACAAAAACAGGCATGTAGGGAACAAGGGAATGAGACTCCTTCCTCAGTGAGAGTTGGAGCTGTACCATTTACCTGTTTCAAATCTTGGAATGGTATAAACACAGGTGCCAGTCTGCAAAGAGATAATAAAAGGCTGCCATCTGTTGAGAATATAGGTCAGTACTTCTCACACTTGAGGGACCACTTGACTCACAGGGTGACCTTTTTTTTTCTTAAAGGATTTTGTTTTCAGTTATATGTATGTGTATCTGTTTGAGTATGTGCCCATGAATGACGTGCCTGAAAACATCAGCAGTGTTAGATCCCTGAAGCTGGAGTTAGAGGCAGTTGTGAGCCAACTAATGTGGATGCTGATTTAATTCTCCTGTGTGTGGACTATCCATGGAACATTTTAAGAACTAAGGGATACAAAGGCTTGGTCAGCAAACTTACAGAAAATGATCTATAAGCCCCCAAATCTAATTCTACGCCTTCTGCCCTTGTGCTGTCTTTTGTCTGTGAGCCACCTTTCCTGAAAAGGGTAGCTACCACCCCTGAGCAAATAATCCTCTCTTTACAGAAAATGGAGGCCATCACAGAAAACCACAACTGGACGCAATGCAGAAATCAATGGATAATGTACATCATAGCTCCCGCCTCTATGGCTGAGGGAATACTGTGGAAGAGGCAACAGACTGGAAATAAGTCAAAATACCAAGAAGTCTCCTGTGAAAGTTGAATAATGACAATATCAATTGACACATTAATGTGAAAGGGTGCAATTTTCCAGGGTTACACCCCTAGACAACGTGACTACAGGCAACTAATGACTGCTGGGAGAATTAGCTTCTCCAGGGATGAGCCCCCTTATGAGTCATCAATGCAATGTTATCAGCCCTGATACCATATATACAAACAACAAAAACCAGCACATGTTTCTCTGTTTGTGCATATACATAATACATGTGTGTATGCATAATAATAAAAGGTTATCAACTTGAAGGGGGATGTGGAAAGGGCTGGAGGAAGGAAAAGGAGGGAAAGTGATGATCATATTTTAAAACCCACTCAATAAAACCAGTGACATGCATGGACTAAAATATGCATATTGCTTATAAAATAAATCATCCTTTAGTTCCAAGGCCTTCTGACTTTGGAGGGCACCAGCTACACATGTGCACAGATATACCTGAGAGCAAAACTCATATATACATAAAATCTCAAAAGTAATTTAAAATTAGATTCTAAATGAGTAGAAATATGGAAGCTAAAATGGAAAACAGACCTGAGTTCAAATCCTAGCCCTATCACTTCCTGCTAGACTTCAGGGGACTTTCTAAATTGTCTAAATTCCAGTGTTCTCTTTGGCAAAGTCAGACTGACACCACTTGGAAGTTTGTTTACATGTCTAGTTGTAGCGTGTAGAAGATGAGGACTTGCCCTGTAGAAGTGTTCAATACACAGAATCCTTCTCCAGTGAGAATTCACTTCTGGCACTTCACCAAAGGATGCAAATCTGAAGTCGTAACCACCAAGTATGGCTGCTATAAGCCAACAAACAAGGCTTTGCTCAGAATCTGAAGTTCTCATTTCTAGTCAGATCTTATCTATGTTCTTAATTACAAAACAAAATAGCAGTATAAGAAAGTAGAATGAGTGGAGAAGAACTGTTTGTGTAATACCCCTGCTCTGTCTGATCAGAACCAAAGGAAGCTAAGTCTCTTCAGCATCCTAGCAAAAATTCTCTGGGGTGACAACACAGCCCTCCTGTCACAGGTGCATTTTGGGAAGACTAGAACCATTCTTACCTGAGTCTACATAGATTGTTCTGGTTCTCTTCAGTTTTCCAAGTGGTTTGTACTTTGGTTCGGCACTTCGGGAAGATCGGCACAGAGGCTTTAAACTGATATAAATCAGAATATTTGACTTTTCCTTTTGGGAAAGTTGCTGAAGCATAAACATCACTTAGAGAGATTAGAACAAAGCCATAGGGCGATCAAGTGAGCATTTGTGGGAGATAAAGGCAATGTTTAATAAAGATCTACAACTTAATGAAGTGGCCAGTGGAAGCACTTACATACAACGTTAGTAGATACCAATCATGTACAGCGGGAACCGTCTTAACAGATTAAAGCCAAACTTGAATCTTTGCTCTTAATGAGCTCTATCCCAAGACAAGATAAGTCACCCATTGAAACCTAGCATCCGGAGAGTCTAGGAGAGGTGCTTCTTCTCTGTTTAATGGCATTTATTTACCTCTTGCAAGGATCCCACAAAGTTGATCTGATTCCAGAGTCACAAGCTGAAAGCCAGGTCACAGAAATAAGATCTGCAGGGGGTCCACCCTCACTGAGGGCTACACTACCTACTTTCCTTCTGCCAGCTTGCTCGAAGCCTTGAGGATCAGAGCCAACTCAGCAGATTGTGGCAGCCATGAAGCTCCCAACCTGACTACAGCCAGACTTCTATTTGTCATCTATGTTCTCATGTCTGTGATATTCCCTGGCTCAGTACCATGTGGCACCTCCAGAATCTGCTGTTACTGCTTCTCTCTGTAGCCATTTCATGCATTCTCTTTGGGTAACTTTTACCAAGTGAAGGTCACTCTCCACCCACCTACCCACAACAGATTGCCCAATAGAAATGCAAGCTAGGAGTACAAGATAGGATAACAAGCACTCCAAATGATTCTAAGTATATTCCCATTTAAATCTATAAGACAATCTTAAATCTCAGTGATCCGGATTAAGTTCTTAACTCTTGCCTTACTAGCCAGCATGTTGCTTTCTTGACACTACCATGCTTTCTGGCTTCTAACTAACATTTTTAGTCTACTAAAAATGGTGTCAGCTGGCACAAATAACCTTAATACCAAGATAATCTAGTTCCTGCACTAGGTCACTCTAAAAAGATTGTGTTTTTATTTCTGTATTCATGTGTCCATCACCGCACTAGGTCACTCTAAAAAGATTGTGTTTTTATTTCTGTATTCATGTGTCCATCACGTTTGAGGTGAATATGTTCCATGGAGGTTAGAAAGGGCATTGGGTCCGCTGGAGCTGGAATTAGAGCTAGTTGTGCAGCTTTGGATGTGGGTGCTGGGAACCACACTCAGGGCCTCTGGAGAGCTCTTAACCACTCAGCCATCTCTCTATCTTACCAGTTCACATCTTAAGAATTGGCCACTCAGGGAGGGTAGAGGGAGAGAGGAGGAAGGGAAAGGAGTGGAGAAAAATGTATAGCTCAATAAAAACAATAAAAAAGAATTGGCCACTCATAAGTAGATATTATATGTAAAGCAAAGGAAAACCAGACTACAATCCACAGGTCCACAGAAGCTAGGTAACAAGGAAGACCCTAAGAGGAACACATGGATCTCCCAGGGAAGGGGAGTTAGATGAGATTTCCTGGGTAAACTGGGGACAAGGAGGGTAAAGGGGAGGGGATGGGAAATGAGAACATGAGGGAATGATGGTCAAAGTGGGTAGGGAGAGCAGTGAAAGAGAGATCTTGATAGAGGGAACCACTATGGGGTTAGAGAAATTCCCAAGAATCCACAAGGATGACCACAGCTAAGTCTCCTGGCAACAGTGGAGAGAGAGCCCAAACTGGCCTTCCCCTGTAATCAGATTGGTGAATACCCCAACTATCATCATAGAGCCTTCATCTAGCAACTGATGGAACCAGATGCAGAGATCCACAACCAAGCACCAGGAATCCAATTAGAGAGAGGGAAGAGAATATATGAGCTAGGGAGGTCAAGATCATGATGGAGACATCTATAGAGGCAGCTGAACCAAGTTTGTGGAAATTCAGGAACTCTAGACTGACAGCTGTGGAGTCTCCATGGGACTGAACTAGGCCCCCCACATGTGGGAGACAGTGGTGAAGCTTGACTATCTGTAGGGCACCTGGCAGTAGGATCGGGATCTATCCCTGGTGTATGAGTTAGCCTACTGGAGCCCATTCCCTATGGTGGGACGCCCCAACTTAAAGTGCCAGACGTTTTGTTGACTTCCCATGGGAGCCCATACTCGTTGGGAGGAGGGTGGAGGGGGAGAACTGTGGATGGAATGTAAAATGAAATGAAATAATCAAAGAATCATTGCTTTGGAGTGAAGATGTTACAGTTGGAAAATGAATACAAAAGAAAATGTTTAATTACATGTGGGCTTCTAATAAAGCAGAAACAAAATTGGCCACCAGTAACTTCCACTTCCACTCCTCCCGCCATCAGAACATGTATCTTTCTCCCGTTTGCACGACTGAGCTCTTATTCCTCGTGCTTCCCTGGTGATTTTTGTCCTTGACAGCCTCCCACCTGTCTGGTCCCAAGAAATCTTTTTTCCCAAAGTCTGGCATTTGGACAAAACCCAGCATCCTCTCCGAGACTTGAGGAAGTAGCCTGTACCTGCTAAAAGGAAGCATTGTCCTTGTCTCTGGCACAAGGACCCTGGCTCTTCCGTTAACATACACCTGTGGTGCCTATGGCATATCAAGCTCCTAGACACATTCAATCCCTACACTTCAAAGACCTCCACCTCAGTTTCTATTCCCCTCCTCCCAGGTACCTGTTCCTTTGAAAACCCTGGGCAGTGGTGGCTCACCGCCTAGACTGCTCCATAGCCTGGAGCCTGTTTCCCACCTGTCTCTCAAAGCTTGGTGCTGTATGTGTTCATCAGTCTCAGGCAGATTTTCAAGCATAGCATTCCCATGCCTCCCAGCCAGAGCCACCAATAGCACACAAGACCCACAAACAGAAGCTACTCACACATCCATGACCTTATCCACGGTGAGGCCTACTGGAATGACGTTTGGATATGCATTCACTGGACAGATGTAGCTCAAAAAATCTTTAATCTAGAAGGAATATAAAATGCATCAGCTATCTCTGATGGGAAATTGAGGTGCCAGTCTATTCCCAGTTCCTAGTATACAGACCAGTTGAGAGGCCTCTCCATGGAAATAAATGAAGAGGGGACATACAGACACAATGGAGTTGTGTCCAGCCATAAGGAACAAACTATGTCATTTGCAGAAAAATGGATAAAAACTAGAGATCATTGTGTTAGGCAAAATAAGCCAACTCAGGCAGATAGCGCATTTTGTATCATGTGGATACACACATACATGGTACATGTACAGATACATGATAGGAAAGCGGGAGAGTAACTATGGGACAGGGACTATCAGGAGAGAAAGAGATAGTCTAGTCTGTTTTCTCTCATTTGTGGAAACTAGGTCTAACAATACATAATGGAAACAGATGGGGGACTGTTTCAGGAGAAGAAGGAGACCAGTGAGAGGGAGAGGAGAGACAAGGGAGGGTAATGGTGGGCAAAAATGAACAAAGTATGAAGATATATTTGTATGAAAATGTTATGATAAAATTCATTATTTTGTATGCTAACTAAAATATTAATTAAAAAAAGAAAACTGAGGGTGTCAGAAAAGAGAGGTATAGGAAAGGGCAGCAGAGCTTCCTTGTGACCCTGCTTCAGTGCTGGCTGCACATGGGGACCACCGAGGGACCTGCCAAACAAGACACACGCACTGGCAATGCCTTGGCCTCATTCCCCTAAACGCTCCCTGTGCTGCGCTACGTGGGAGTCTGGGAACTTGCACAGTTGAACTTTGTTCAGGTTTCTGCTCCACAGAAAGAGCTTGAGTTCCTAATTAATGGAATCTAAAAATGGTGCCTTTGTAAAATTTGACATTCATTTTTTAGTCCAAGGCCAGTTGCCTACACATTTGGCAAACCCTCTTCCATGTGAGTTAGAATACAGCTGAATATTGACCATAATAGATACAAGAAAAGAAGGTCTTGTACCTTTTTCTGCGTATAAATAGTCATTACCAGGGCAACTGCATCTTGGAGATCACTTGATTTGCTCTAATGCCTATTCTTATGGAATCAAATACCACGCAGTGGCTACCACCTTTGAAGACACCAAACTCTTCTGCCCATTACATCTTAGTTTGCAGTTACTAAAGTGAGCAATGCAGTCAAGCCTGAATGCAATAGCACTCAAGGAGTCCAGTATGACTGGGTCCAGTAGTGATCTCCGGTGGCCCAGGGCCTGCAGGTCTCTCCTAGTAGACAACTTAGGACAACCTGCTTCTGTGCACATTTCTCTAGTGCCAGAGAGAGGACCCCTTACTGATGTGGGATGCCCCTCTGTGTGCTGTGAATATGTTTTATTACTATTGGTTAATAAAGAAGCTGCTTTGGCCTATGACAGGGCAGAATAGTGCTAGGCGGGAAATCCAAGCAGAGATAGAGGGGGAAAGAAGGCAGAGTCTGAGAGACGCCAGCAGCTACCAGGGAAGCAAGCTGTGAGATGACAAGCCACAAGCTTTGTGGTAAAATGTAAACTAATAGAAATGGGTTATTTTAAGTTTTAAGAGCTAGTTAATAATAAGCCTGAGTTAACAAGCCAAACAGTATGTAACTAATATTAAGTCTCTGAGTGATTATTGTAAAAGTGGCTGCGGGACCAGGCGGGACAAGAAACCTCCAGTTATACCTTACCACAAAGTCTGAAACACTGGATGTAAGGTGTCTGAACGCTGTTCACATACAGGTGGATGTGGACAGGGAGTACACACAAGACCGAAGCAGAAGGTGTCCTGAGCAAAGCTGCTAGCCAGTGCAGGCTGCATGTACTCCGAGACACACAGCTCGGAGGAAGTGTTCCAGGCCCTTTGTGTGTGTATGACTCAAAAGACTGCACATACAAAGTCCTTTCATACCAATTCGAAACAATTACAGTTTAAAACATTCACAAGTATGTTGATATTTTTTTTTTTTTTGCCTCTTCAGAATATAAAACAGAAGAATTCTCCTTAAGAGTTCTACCAGGCAAATCTCACTTATTAGATATTGGTGAGCTGTGACCTCAGTAAGTTTAAGGCTCAGATTCTTCATCTACCGTATAAAGAAGATAACACCTGTGAAATGCTAGTGCCAGTACCCGCTGGCCAGTACCAGGTACCCGGTGAAACATCCGCTGCCATTATGCAGGACAGAGTTGGTAATGATAGTACAAAGACTTGGATCCCCTCTTTCCACAATGGATGGCCAGGGCACAAAGCAGTGAGCATCTAACTCTAACTCTAACGCAAAGGACCAAATGAGGACACAGAGCCCCAGGGATTTCCAGGAACTATGAAAATGGCTACTCTAAACTAAAGGACGCCTATTCTTTAGGAACTTTGCACAAACAACTTTTTTATACCTTTAGGGAGGCATGCACACAAAAACCATTACTTGCCCCTAAAGTGCCCACCTTGCATGTATGAGGATCTGAATTTGATGCCCAGAACCATGTAACAATGCTCGGTATAGTGGCGCACACTGGTAATCCCAGTGCCAGGAAAGCACAGGAGGACCCCTGCCAACGGCCAGCCAGCCTAACTGCTGAACTCCATGCTGATGAGAGACCTGGTGTGGAAGAGTATGACGGCCTTCCTGAGGACGACACCTGAAGCTGCCTTCTGGCCTCCACCCAGATACACATCTACACTCACCCCTTCCCACACGCATGCACACATATATGTACACCCCACAGACATATACCCTGCCCCGTGGTGACCAACCCCAAAGGCTGCAGTCAGCAGTAGGAGCTGGTGGATCCTCTTACCTCACTGTAGGAGGAGTGAAAAGAAAAGCATGCTCTGTATGAGCTCTCTCCTGTCCTAGGAAAAAACAGAACACAAAAGGACACTTAGCAAAACTAAGTGGTACTATAGGGTTGAACCCCACTTAGGCTGTTTGGGTGTGAAGCCACGTGGATGTGAGGAACTGCTTCTTGGGACAGGAGGCAACTTCTTCAGACACGGAAACCTTCTGTAGACATTCTAAATAGCCCAAATCAAGGAGGCGTTGCTAAGGTATTGAGGCCATTTGTGGAGCTGCCTCTACTGTACCGGTGCTTCTATTCTTTCCAATACCTGTCTGTATTGCAAAGCCCTCGGATGCCTTCACAGTTCAACCATCTTGTCTCTCACAGAGGAAGTCCCTAGATATATCAGCAAATGTACTGCCATAGTTTGAAAGCAACATCCCTTCGTTTTAAATAATGTTTAAATAAAAAACATAGTTCCTACAATTGTAACATCCTCTCCCTGGGCTCTTGCTGATCTGAGTTTAAACTTCATTAAACACAACACTTCCCCTCTGGGTTTCTGAAGACCAAGCCATCGGTCCCTTACCTCACTATCACGTTGGTTTTTCTGGTTCTCTCTCCGAACCACATGGTGGATGGTTTGATGCTGATGGTATGGAGCGCAGTTTTGTTTTTGGAAGTAATCCCACAGGGTAACTTATTCCATTGAAAATACTCCTCTGCCTGAAAACAAAACAGAAACACATTTGTTTTAAATCCTAGCTACATATTTTCAACAAGGCTATTGTAGACTGGCATTCAAAAGCAATTGCAGGTGAGTTTTTGGATATGAAGAAACTGCAGACGCAAGGAAGGAAACAAGTTATTTTAGAATAAATAACCTGGGTGCTCCAATAATGCTGGAAAGTAGGTTTGTACTTACAAAGAGGACTCCCTGGCTTAGTGAGGTGCCACATGGCTGGAAGATCATGAGTTTGAGCCCAGCCTGGACTCCAGCAGCCTAGCCCTATCTACAGTGAAGACTCTCACGAAAATCAAAAGCAAGCTACTCTTTGGGCTGTGGAGGTGGCATATGATGGCTGGGGAAACAAGCAGGAAGATGGCAAGTTTGAGCCTAGTCCATGCTACAACAGCCAGAATCAGGGCACAACGGGAGATCTCCCGGTTTATTATTACATTCTTTTCGCCATCCAAGAGTCTACTGGATGGGTAGCTGCGTATGATTAAATAAATGACAAGAATTAGACTATGTAGCCTACCTATCGCCAGTTATAGTCATGAGTTAGACTGTGTGGCTACCTATCGCCAGGAATAGTTTCTAACATGCAGCTTTCTTACTGAAAAAAAAAATTCTTTTTATTTGTCTGTATGTGGGTGTGCATGTGTGTGTATATGTGTGTGTGTGTGTGTGTGTGTGTACATATATATATGGGATGTCCAAGGAAGCCGAAAGAGGGCATTAGATCCCTGGAGTTGGATTTACAGGCAGTTGTGCGCTGGGAACCAAACGCAGGTCCTCTGAAAGAGCAGTAAGAACTCCTAGGCGTGGAGTTAATGTGCAGTTCTCTTGCAAAGGCTTCTATTAGAACATTACAGGTCGTTGATGAGAAAACGTATTTTCATGCATAGTTCTTAAGGGTTTAGGCACATGGAGCAGTGCTATTATGTTCTGCAACAGTGGTCTACATATATATGCATGTTGCTGAGGGTTCTATGCTCAGAGAGCTCAAATTTTAGGGGAAAATTATGATCAGGCACATAATTGTATTTGAAGGTAACTAATTCAATTGTCCTTTTTTTTTTTTTTTTTTTTTCAAGACAGTTTCTCAGTAGCTATAGAGTCAGTCCTGGAACTCACTCTGTAAACTAGGCTGGCCTCAAATTCACAGAAATCCGCCTGCCTCTGACTCCTGAGTGCTGAGATTAAAGCGCCACCACCACCTGACTCAGTTGTCTTAATTAAATGTCAAAGACAGTAGTTGAAGCTGGGCAGTGGTGGCACATGCCTTTAATCCCAGCACTCGGAGGCAGAAGCAGATGGATGAACTGTGAGTTCAAGATCAGCCTGATCTATAAAAGTTAGTTCCAGGACAGCTAAGGGTGTTACACAGAGAAACCCTGTCTCAAAAAAAAAAAAAAAAAAAAAAAGACATTAGTTGGGAAAAGGATGGAAATCAGGGGAAGGGGGAACAGAGAATATGAAGAGCAAATGTAACTAAAAATATATTGTATAGGGTTGGAGAGATGGCTCAGAGGTTAAGAGCACTGGCTTTTCTTACAGGGGTCCTGAGTTCAATTCCCAGCAACCACATGGTGGCTCACATCCATCTATAATGAGATCTGGTGCCCTCTTCTGGCATCCAAGCATACACACAGACAGACCACTGTGTATATAATAAATAGATAAATAAAGATTTATTTTTTAAAAATATATATTTTATAGATATAATGAGGTGCAGGGAAAAGATGTATTATCAAAGGAAAACAAACGTCAAAGGCAAACTCAAAATGGAAGGCTGGTAACTCAAGGGTTCACAGTAGAAGTACAAAGAAAAACTGTGACAGTGAGCAGCAAAGACACCTGAGGTGCTTCCTTGGGCTTCCACCACTATGGTATCGCCTTCAGAGTTGGAAGGAGGTTATACCTAGATATTTAAGTGAGTAGAAGAAAATTACAGTTTTTTAAAAAAGATTATTTAATTATGTATACAGCATTCTACCTTCATGTGTCCCTGTAGGCCAGAAGAGGGCACCAGATCTCATTACAGATGGCTGTGAGCCATCATGTGGTTGTTGGGATTTGAACTCAGAACCTCTGGAAGAACAATCAATGCTCTTAACCTCTGAGCCATCTCTCCAGCCCGAGAATTATAGTTTTCAAGCGTACACCTGTCTTAAGTCTCAGAAACAAGTAGTAATACACTGTGAACATGTTTACTTAAATTATAAGCTCGACATAGTATCATCCTGGCCTCCACATTGTATCTCTCTATCCACAGACCAGTACTGCTCTCAGACCTCATCAGAGAAGTTTCTGTGTGCAGTGGATGGTGGCGGACACAAAAACAGCTGGCCGAAATGCAGGGAGTAAGTGTGTGGGTGGTGCCCAGCCACGAGACGTCTCTAACACATTGCCACTCCTGAAGCTCAGAGGCCATCGTGGAAGAGGGCACAGAAAGACAGAAGAGCCAGAGGTTATGGGGACAGGAGCCAAACTGTCTTCTAGCCATGACAGAACTGCTGCACACATGAACACAGAGTGGGAAAGTTCCAGAGCAGACCCTGCTCCTGAGGAGCTATGGACAGATGATGCCTTCCCGAAGACAGGGAGTCAGTTTTCTTTAAGGGTGTGGCTTCTGGCAGGTCAGCTGTGTCCAGTGGATGGTCCCACACCCAGGAAAATATGGGCAGCACAAACTGAACTCTACGAGTTATTAAAATTGACAAAAATAACAGAGCACACGCAGGTGGATGAACAGGGAGAAGTGGGTAGATCTGGGAAGAATAGAGGGGACAAATATGACCAAAATTGATTGTATGCATTTTTCAAAGAATTAATATTTGCTTAAATTACAACTAGCACAGATTAATAACTTCATTACAAATAAATCTCCATCTTCATGTAGAAGAAGCAATTTTCTGTACGAATTTAAGAATCTGTGTGTGTTCCTCATTATGAGGTACGTGCTCATGGAATATAGGTATGTATAACTGCACGACCTCCAGCTAACAGCTTAGGATCATGGAGAGTTCCGAAAGGGAATTTCTGAGGTGCCTTCTTGATCTCAATCTCTCAGGTCCCACAAAGAACAGGACAGATGTTTCTCAGTACCTTTGGGTGGCGGCAGGCATGGATTTGGGTGTTTCGGTCCGTGGTGAGATGGTGGAGGATATCAGGCATGTTTCTAAACATATCCATCTTGTCCACATGAACCTGTGAAGAAGAGCAGGTAGAAGAAGCACATTGTTTGAAATGCAGTTATAAGAGGACACACATTCCAGGGGACACTGTCCGGTTAGTGGATGAATCTTTTCTCTGCAGTCTCGTTCTGAGCTGTGGTGTCCCTAGGCAAAGGACCCATCCCATAGATTGCCCCTGATTGTGTTAATACTGTCCTTCAAGAATCATTTGGTTCCTATTGAATATGCATCTCCAGGATGTCAAACAATTCTAAACTCTAGCACTACAGCAGACGCCAAAGCCAACAAAGACAACCAAGAAGCTCCCACTGCCTCTGCTGAGAATTCTCTGTTCAGTTCAGTGCCCCATTTTTTAATTGGGTTAATTAGCATTTTAAAGTCTAGTTTCTTGAGTTCTTTATATATTTTGGAGATCAGACCTTTGTCTGTTGTGGGGTTGGTGAAGATCTTCTCCCAATCAGTAGGTTGCCTTTGTGTCTTATTGACTATGTCCTTTGCTTTACAGAAGCTTCTCAGTTTAAGTAGGTCCCATTTATTCAATGTTGCCCTTAATGTCTGTGCTTCTGGGGTTAATGGCCAAAAGACACTTAAAGTCGTGCTCAACTTCCTTAGCAATCAGGGAAATGCAAATCAAAACAACTTTGAGATATCATCTTACACCTGTCAGAATGGCTAAAGTCAAAAACACCAAGGATAACCTTTGCTGGAGAGGCTGTGGAGGAACGGGTACCCTCATCCATTGCTGGTGGGAATGCAATCTTGTGCAACCACTGTGGAAGTCAGTGTTTCGGTTTCTCAGGAAATTCGGGATCAACTTACCCCTGGACCCAGCAATACCACTCCTGGGAATATACCCAAGAGATGCTCTATCATATGACAAAAGCATTTGTTCAACTATGTTCATAGCAGTATTATTTGTAATAGCCAGAACCTGGAAACAACCTAGATGCCCTTCAATGGAAGAATGGATGAAGAAAGTATGGAATATATACACGCTAGAGTACTACGCTGCGGTAAAAAACAATGACTTCTCGAATTTTGCATGCAAATGGATGGAAATAGAAAACACTATCCTGAGTGAGGTGTCCCAGACCCAAAAAGATGAACATGGGATGTACTCGCTCATAATTGGTTTCTAGCCATAAATTAGGGCCACGGAGTCTACAATAGGTGAACCTAAAGAAGCTAAGTAAGAAGGTGAACCCAAGGAAAAACATATAGTTATCCTCTTGGCTAAGGGAAGTAGACCAAATTGCCGGGGAGAAAATTAGGATCTTGGGGGTGGGGTGGGATGGGGGTAAGGGGAGATGGGGAGAGAAAAGGTAGAAGGGAAGGAGGGGGGACTTGGGGAATCAGGAGAATTGGGATAAAGGAAAGGTGGATAGGGGAGCACGGAACCACAATTCTTAGTTAAGGGAACCACTTTAGGGTGAGCAAGAGATTTGACCCTAGAGGGGCTCCCAAGTGCCCAACATGAGGTTCCCAGTTAGTTCCTTGGGCAGCTGAGGATTGGGAACCTGAAATGACCCTATCCTAGAGCAATACTGACGAATATCTTGCATATCATCATAGAACCTTCATCTGGTGATGGATGGAGACAGAGACAGAGACCCACACTGGAGCACTGGACTGAGCTCCCAAGGTCCCAATGAGGAGCAGAAGGAGGGAGAACATGAGCAAAGAAGTCGGGACCACGAGGCGTGCACCCACCCACTGAGACAGTGGAGCTGATCTACTGGGAGCTCACCAAGGCCAGCTGGACTGTGACCGAAAAAGCATGGGATAAAACCGGACTCTCTGAACATGGCGAACAATGAGGGCTGATGAGACGCCAAGGACAATGGCACGGGGTTTTGATCCTACTTAATGTGCTGGCTTTGTGGAAGCCTAGCCAGTTTGGATGTTCACCTTCCTAGATATGGACGGAGGGGGGAGGACCTAGGACTTACCACAGGGCAGGGAACCTGGACTGCTCTGTGGACTGGAGAGGGAGGGGGAGAGGAGTGGGGGGAGGGGGAGAAGGGTGGGAGGAGGGGGAGGGAAATGGGAGGCTGGGAGGAGGTGGAAACTTGTTTTTTGTTTATGTTTTTTTTCTTCTTTTCTTAATAAAAAAAATTATAAAAAAAAAAAAAAAGAAGCTCCCACTGGGCTGGTGAGATGGCTCAGTGGGGGCAAGTGTGGGCTAAAGAAGCTGTGGCCCTGAATTCCATCTCCAGAACCCACTTAGAGGAGGGAGAGAAGCAACTGTAACATGTTGTGTGTGGCATGCATGTTACATGTGTGGCAAACGACATGCCCCATAGGACAGCTGGTGTGGGGAAAAGAAAGTAGGACCCAGATTGTCCTGCCCCATAGAACTTCACATGGCAAAGAGGAGAGAAAGATCCAGAAGAACAAATACTCAAATGTGGCTGACCTGAAGAAATTTAAGGCTAGTAACAGTTTAAAGTATTAAAACCAATTATGTCACTTTTACTCCAAGCTTGTCTTCTGGGTCTTTCAAAGCAGATGATATTAGTGCCTAAACTGATATTAGGATCATGAAACAAAATTAAAATTGTAACACCCTCATGTTGGTGTGAGACTAACAAACACACAGAAATAATGTCAGTTACTGTGCTGGCTGCTGCTAAGGCAGGGTGCAGAAAGAACTTAGGCTCAACCGCTTACCCGACTGGCCTGTTGGACTCAGAGCTGATTTACTTATGACCATCGGAAGGAAAGATGAGAGATTGGGGAGGGGGCAGTCAGGAAACACTGATTTGCAGGCATAAGGAACTAAGTTTGATCCCCAGAACCATGAAAAAAATCTGGCTATGGCGGCCTGAGCTTGTGATCCCAATTGGGAGGTGGGATAGGAGGATCCCTGGGGCATACCTCTAGCCAGTCCACCTACTGGGTTCCAGTCCAATGAGAGACTGTCTTTAAACACAGAATCAGACCCATGCACACTGCACAGAGCCAATGAGAGACTGTCTTTAAACAAAGAATCAGACCCATGCACTGCACAGACACAGACACACAGAGAAAACGGAAGTCAGGTATAGTGATGCTTCTATTATCGTAGCACTCAGAAGACTGAGGCAGGAGGATCATGAGTTTGAAGCCAGTCTGGCTATAGTGTGAGTTTCAGACAGACCTGGGCAATGCACCCCTTTCTCCCAGGAAAGATGAAAGAAAATAAGGAAGAAAGAAAATAGTGAATGTGCCGTTCAGGCTCTCTGAGAAGGATGGGGAGGGCTAGAGTGAACCGTGGGAGAGAATCGGAATAGCGGTGACCGAGAAGGCAGCCGCAGATCATCCCTGAGGCACCTGAGTTGGAAACCTCACCACTTTTTCTTTGTAAACTCCTGATCTAGGATTATCCCCATCTCTGCCAAAGGGATGTAAGGAAACTCTAGGGCCACCATCAAAAGCTTCTCCCTGAAGCCTCCCTGCCCCCCACTTCTCCCTCCAGGGTTCAGAGCTGTGGCTTCCACTCTTTACATACCCCTGAAATTACACCCCAAATAACTGCCACCACTACACATCAGAGAGACAGAGTATGAAGAAGAATTTAAAAGACAGGTAATGTAAATGAGTCTGTGTGTGTGTGTGTGTGTGTGTGTGTGTGTGTATGCGCGCGCATACGTGTGAATATTATCACTACCATAATTTTATTTAAAAGCCCATTTTAATATCAAACACATAGGCAGAGTGACCCCAGATAAAACCAAATCTTTCTCAAAATGGATAATTAATGTCTTTACATCAAAATATTTGGTTAGAAGAACTTCCAGAAATAGACCTGGGAACTGGAAAGGAGAGACAGACATTTATAGAGAGTGAAGGTTAGAATTTTATAATTTCAAACAGAAAAACTAGATTCCCCCCACCCCCAGTGCTGGGGATAGAATCCAGGGCCTTGTGCATGCCAGGTGAGCGCTCCGCCACTGAGTCACATGCCCAGCAAAACCAGATCATTTTAACAATGCTGAAGTACACTGTGGGTCACGGTTAGGGCCTGGGCACAGATTTGTCATCGGGTGGATCTGTATTTAATAGCACACAACTACAAATGTCCACCTGGTCCCAATGTTTCATTTTGTTCAGTGATTATCTCAAATCCACCTTCTCTCAGGCACAAAAGTTCCAGACACTTTTGAGTGCCCTGGAGGAGGAGGTGCATGCTCAACAGCCACCACACATACCCCAGGCTCTTCTGCCCTGGGTCTGAGGGGCCAGCATCAAACATCTGGGAAAGAGTGGTCGAAATGGACAAGTGGAAACTCCCACCATGCCTAGCACTGACCCATTGACTAGCTCCAAGTCAATGTACTTCATGTGCTGTTGGCCATGAGTCAAAGCAGGAAATACGATTTCCATAGCAACCTGATCAGCACACAATCAAGGAGAAATCCATATTCATGTGTATATGTGTGTTTCCAATCAGTTAAGTAAATGTTCACTGTCAATACCTAAGCTGCAAGCAATACAGCCAGGTATCACTTGATATTACTGGGTTCAAATTTACTTTTGATATTGGTCAAAATTTATTTATTTTATAACCCACACCTTGGGAGAAAATACTTTGCCCCTGGGGCATATTTTTGAGATGTTTTGAGTCCTTTTGCGAGGATATGTACCTATAAAGATGAGGTGACTTCTAAGAGGCAGTTGTGTTTTGGCAAGATGCTCCAACCCCCCACACCCCATCTTCAGTTATTTGGGGAGGAGGAGGGAAAGGAGTAGGGGAAGGGAATAGGGAGGGGCAAGGCAAGGAAGGGGGGCTAGGAAAAAAGAGAGGTACCTGGACTCCCAGCTCCTCACTCAGGTTGGTGAACAAATACTCATAGCCATAAGCTGCTTTACAGTTCAGCCACACAGCGTGGTGTGGACTCCTAGTGATCCAGCTCCGAACCAGCTCCAAAATTCCCCTCAAGCACTCCTCCTAGATGGCCAAAGGGAAAAAAAAAGATACTTTGAAGGAACTCATTAACCTTTCTCCTCTTCAACATTCAGAGGCAATTGCTTCCCAAAGGGATAACTGCTGTAATAGCCTCCACCAGCCATTCCAACTAGACAGGTAGCTACATTCCCAGCTCACCACCCCAGGCAGCCCCATCACCCAAGGCAACCCCATCACCCCAGGCAGTCCCATCACCCCAAACAGTCCCGTCACCCCAGGCAGTCCAGTCACCCCAGGCAGCCCCATCACCCCAGGCAGCCCCATCATCCCAGGCAGTCCCATCACCCCAAACAGTCCCATCACCCCAAACAGTCCCGTCACACCAAGCAGTCCCGTCACCACAGGCAACCCCGTCACCCCAGGCAACCCCGTCACCCCAGGCAACCCCATCACCCCAGGCAAACATACACGACTTGGAATTTGATAAAACCTTGGGTCACAGAATGTGGTGTCTAAATATACACTTTGGATGTCTTTTACTCTGAGAAGAAGAAAAAAATACTGTTAGCTATTTCATGGGACATAATTGTGTATAAAATGATGTAGAACCTGAGTTATTTTCAAGTGTGTGCCACTCCACTTCCAAATCCATTGTCTATCAATTCCACTGGAACAATAATCATCCAATAAAATACATATTTATGAGCCAGTTGGTTTTGGCACATACTTGTAGTTCCAGCACTCTGGAGGCAGAGTCAGGTGGGTCTCTGTGAGTTCAAGGCCAGCCTGGTCTACAGAGCGAGTTCAGATTTTGGAGCAGAGAAACGACTCTTTGGGTAAAGACACCGATCACCAAGCCTGACAGCCTGGGTTCCATTGCCAGGACCCATGTGGTGAAACGGGACCCACTCCCACAAATTATCCTCTGACCTACACACACACATACACATAAACACACATACAAACACACACACTTATTCAACCTGCACAGACAAGAATTTTAGAAGGTCCTCTACCTGCCCCCAGAGTGCAAAAGCTCCATTCTAGAAGCTTCTCCTTTTGCCAGTCTGAAGTCTCCTGTGTATAAGACAGTTCCATTACTGCCCTGGAATAAAAACCTGAAAAATAAATGTATCTCAGTAACTTCCAAATCACAAAGTCCTAAGAAAGCTAACATGGCAGCAAAGGCCTCTTGCCAAACATATGCCTTACAAGGTAGTGTTAGAATTTTGGCAGTGCTAAGTCCTGGTGACTAGCACTTTTCCCCATGAGGAGCAAAAATAAATACGATAAAATACGATCAAACAGGATGGGAACATTACTGAATCTGTCCTAGGCATGGCCTGGAATATTCTAGCACTTCCTAATATACACTCAAATCATTGCATTCCAGAGAGAGAAACATCCCCATGATACGACAGAGCTGAGACACAGAGGAAATCCCAATTTAAGGCATGTACACCAAGAAAGCCACATTGCATGGGGTTTTCATCTCGGTTTCCGAAGCTCAATTCTGAAGGAAAGATTAAAGACACTGCCAGAAAAAGGAAATCTATCTCTGTACACACACTACCCTTTAAATGCTAAAAAGTTATCTCTACAAACATAATACATACTTATATAAGAAGAAATGGGAACAGAGGGGCCCCTTACATAACTGATCCTGGGCAGTGACCAGCTGGTAAGAGAGTCACAACAACCTCTTCCTTCTAAAAAAAAGAAAAAAAGAAAAAAGAAAAGAAAACAATAGTACAAAAGTCATCATGAGGAGCAGCCTAATTCATAATTCATAGCGTCGCCTCTTTCAGTCTCTCACTCTTCAAACTGTGGAAGAAGTGGACTTGTCCACTCCCTTACACAGAGCTATGACAGGACTCGGTTCCTTTTCTAGGTACACACACAAAAGAATGGCCGCAAGAGAAAATCTGTGCATGGACATTCATTGCATAAACACTCACACCAGCCCCAAAGTGGAAACACTTCATAATGCCTAGCAACGGATGAATGGATAAACAGCATGAGGTTTATCCACACCATGGGATACTATTTAGCCATAAAGATAAGATTCTATATATGCATGCCATCCACATACAGGGATGCCTATTGAAAAATGCTCAGAGAAAGAAGTCCCATGATGTATAATAATTCCACAGATAGGCAAGTCCAAAAAGATAGAAAGGAAAACAACAGCCACCAGGAGCTGTGACAGGAAGGGATGGGAGTGGCTGTAACAGGCACAGGGTTTCTGAGTGGTGAAAATATTCTAAAATTGACTACGGTGGTGTACGGATAGTTCTGTGAATGCATTAGAGCTATCAGGTCTTCAAGGGGGTGGATTGTGTGTTGATGAATACTGTAATAATGCTATTATTAACAGAAAAAAGGAGTGGGTGCAGCCCGGTCCCAGCTCATCACATGGCATTGTCCTTTTAAGACAGAGCCTGCTGGGCACCACTGACTCCCCAGCTCTCAAGAGGAGCGGGCAGAGCTCTGTCTGCAATGGTTCACTGCTCAGTAATAATTGCTCAGCCTCTTCTCACAGTACTCATCCTGCAGGCCCCTTTCAACGGGGGTCTCCAGGTTGGGGCTGGGGACACACTGCACAAAAGCCAGGTCACAGACAAGGCATGTAAGTGGCACAGCAAGACCCCAGCAAGAGCCTGCCCGGTGCTCAGTGCTGGGCGTGGAAGAAGCATCTGCAGTGGCAAGGCCAATGAGAACATCCCTCCCAGGTCATACTTGCAAAATTCAGGCTTGCTCTCCTTCCCTTATTCTCTCCCACTCCTTCCCTTCTTGTCCCCCCTGCTACCCAAACCTGGCTCTACCAGGATGAAACTGATGAAGAATACACCCTATGTTCTAGCATCTAAATGGTCACCTCCTGAGTTCCACACTGCAGAGCCACATATGATGATGTTATAACAGACTACAGAGCAAATACTAACTTGGCTGCCAGAATACAGGCAAATCCCCCTAGCCCTTGGTGTCATTTAGATTGGGCTTTGCTTTGTTTTAAGGCCTACAGTCTTATTTACTATTAAACAATACATCCATGAAGTACTAGCTCTAAATTTAAGGCTGAAAAGTAAACTTTATCACTTGGGCAGAGACTTTATTTGTAAATAAACAAAATTATTAAAAAAGAAGATAGCCATTGTACTTGAGTTTGCTTCAAAAATATTAACAAACCACTATTTTATATTCCAGATATAAGAAACAATAAATATGACAACATTGTGTACTATTAACAAATAACATTCTTGTCATAAACATGGAGAGAGATTTGGCAAAAATTAAAAAGAATAAATATACCATATTTAGTCCTTCTAATGTTTGAAATAATTCTAACAATCTATGACTGAATGTCTCCATTCCCTGAAGCTGGGGGTTCAAACAGTGACCCCTGGGAATTTGACTAAGAAGCTTTTGACAGGTGATTAGTTCTTGAAGTTAACCCCCAGAAAACAGATTAGTGCCCTTAAGGGGGAACTTTTACTTCTCCCTGTGTGAGAAATAATAGCTAAGACTCCACAAAGAGAGAATACCAGGCTACTGTGAGAGAACTGCAGCCCATAGTGAGAGAGCCCACCCCACAGTGAGACAACCTACCCCACAGTGAGAGACTGCACCCCACAGTGTGAGAACCCACCCCACAGTGAGACAACCCACCCCACAGTAAGACAACCCACCCACAGTGAGACAACCCACCCCACAGTGAGAGACTCCACCCAACAGTGTGAGAACCCACCCCACAGTGAGACAACCCACCCCACAGTGAGAGACTGCACCCCACAGTGTGAGACTCCACCCCACAGTGAGAGACTCCACCCCACGGTGAGAGACTCCACCCCACGGTGAGACAACCCACCCCACGGTGAGACAACCCACCCCACGGTGAGAGACTCCACCCCACAGTGTGAGAACCCACCCCACAGTGAGACAACCCACCCCACAGTGAGAGAACCCACCCCACAGTGAGAGAACCTACCCCACAGTGAGAGACTCCACCCCACAGTGAGACAACCTACCCCACAGTGAGACAACCTACCCCATAGTGAGACAACCTACCCCACAGTGAGACAACCTACCCCATAGTGAGACAACCTACCCCACAGTGAGAGAACCCACCCCACAGTGAGAGAACCCACCCCACAGTGAGAGATCCCATCCCACAGTGAGAGAACCCATCCCACAGTGAGAGAACCCTAATCTTCAGTCAGAGAACCCCAGCCCACAGCGAGAGAACCCCAGGCCATGGGTAGAGAACCCCAGGCCATGGGAGAGAACCCCAGGCCACGGGGAGAGAACCCCAGGCCACGGGGAGAGAACCCCAGGCCACGGGGAGAGAATCCCAGGCCATGGGGAGAGAACCCCAGCAAATAGGGATCAAAACACTCACAAATGTTGCGGTTGTTTTTCTAAAAATTTACTTTATTCATAAATTATTGTTTATGAATAAATGAGCATTCTAAATTAAAGAGAAATTTAAAGAATCATTTTAGCACAAAGAAAAAATACAAAATATGTATAGTTACCTCACCTGATGCCTCGTCAACTAAAGCTATCTGGGTAGGAGTTTCAATTTCAATTGCTATCTGGAAAGAGATTAAGTGAGGATGTTATAGACTCCACGTAACCATTTGTGATTTCAGTAAAATCAGTAGTTTAAGAAAATGGCATAACAAAACAAAAATACCTTTAATAGCTCAGTGTTACAGCACTTGCTTAGCGTGTATAGGCCTTAGGCTCCAGGCTCAGCACACACACACAGAGTACATAAACACACACTCAGCACATATACTAAGTACACACACACATACACTTAGTACATACACACACACAATATAGCGCAATACAGTAATCTCACATAGGCACACTCAGTACACACACACACACAGTAACTGGGGACAAATGTTAAAACATCCCATTTACAGATGAAGAGCATCAGCTCATTCTGCATCATGAAACCACTGGGCTGGAGACTGTTTTGAAGAGATTTTGGAGACCTTTCATTTTCTTCACTTTTCCTATCTGCGTGTGCATGGATGTGGGACATTAAGCATGCCACCGCTGAGCTGCAGCACCAGCTCTAGATAGATTTCCCTGTAGGGGACAAATGCATACAGCCATTGTATCTGGCATGAACAGTCTTGGGATTGTTTCTAGGTGAACCCGAGCCCTAAGGTCATCCTTTGTATTCAGTCAGTGATGGTTTTCAGAGACTTATGGTGTTTCTAAAGGAGCTCTACAGCCCCTGCAGTACTTTGGTCACAAGAGGGTCCTGGACGTCTTGCATTACTGTGCACATGATGAGGATTATGAAGCTGCAGGGGTGTGATATAAATATGCTTCTCCGTGGCTGTTTGAGGTTCAGTTCATCGAGGCTGAGCCTCCCTGCTGCCTCAGAGCCCCATTACATCCTGGAGTGACCCTCTTTCTTTGATCATCCTGGTCCTCAGAACAGCGACACCTCGTTGGTATGTATGTGTTCCTGTGAACATGCATGTGCGTATGGAAGCAGAGGCTGACGTCAGGTGTCTTCCTCCATGACCTTTTCCTTCTTCCAGACAGGGTCTCTCACTAAACCTGCAGTAGGCCAGTGAGCAGCAGCGATCCTCCTCTCTCCAATGCCCCAGCGCTGGGCTCACAGGGTTTATATACTCCCCTGAGTCAAGGGCCAATGTGACCGTAACTCACGCAGTACCAAAGCAGGCGGTCAGCACTAATCGAGGCTGCAAGGAGATGCTGACATGGCTTGGCTGCCCTCCCGGGCCCTAGATGCCTTTGTGAATTCCAGCTTATGTCTTTTCTTCCCCACTTCCTGACTGCCTCAGACTAAGGGCAGCGGTACAGCCTGGTCTAGAGGCGAAGGGAGAGCAGTGCAGCTGCTGCGACACATCTGCAGGGGACACTCAGCTGCCGCGACACATCTGCAGGGGACACTGACATCCTTCAGCGGGCAGGGGGATAGACAAGCATGATGAAAGGCTACTCCTAGCACGGGATCTTCTGGGTGCAGCACCCAAGCAGGGTGAAAGGGGCTGATGTGGCTTTAGAGGCAGCAGATGTTGGCAGCTGTTTTTATTGAATCATAATGTCCACACAGACTTATTGGGTACAGAACAATAATCTGGTTTGTATGTGTCGTGATCAAATTGAGTTATCAGAATTCCGTCCCCTTAACTATTCATCATCCCATTCTTTTTTTTTAATATTTATTTATTTATTATGTATACAATATTCTGTCTGTGTGTATGTCTGCAGGGCAGAAGAGGGCACCAGACCTCATTACAGATGGTTGTGAGCCACCATGTGGTTGCTGGGAATTGAACTCAGGACCTTTGGAAGAGCAGGCAATGCTCTTAACCACTGAGCCATCTCTCCAGCCCCCCATCATCCCATTCTTTGCGAATCACTGGATTCCTTATTATCACAGACTGTTGGAGGCTCAGTCTGTGCAAAGTTGTTCTTGTCTCGGTTCCTTTTTAAAAGATAATTGTTCACATTTAGTGGATTATTGTGGAGTGGAGGAGAAGTGAGCATACACGCAGAGGTCAGAAGCTTACTTGGAGTTCCATCTCTCCTTCCGCCTTCTGCCATAGAGGTCCCGGGGTCAAACTCGGGTCATTAGGCTTGCTGGCAAGTCCTTTCCCTCTGAGCCACCTCACAGGCTCTTGTCTCACGTTCTGTTTTGTAGCACTGGGGACCAAACACACTAGACATGCACCACCTCTGAGCTGCGCACCTGGCCGCTGTGGTAAAGAAGCTGGCCGGGGCTTGCTTTGATCTGGCCATTTTTGGCAGAGGCATGCCAGGTGTGGGGCAGGGAAGACAGAGGAGGCGGGGCTTGAAAGCTGTCACCTGTCAGACAAGACACTACCCTTTGTGCAGACGTCTGACAGTTACTTAAAGCCTGCCCTCCACAGCAATCCTAACCCCAACCCCACGCTCTACAGTGGACATGACAGATTCCAGCAGGCATCACTTTGAGCAAGAGGTATTTTGTTGACGGCATATATGTTCATGTCCTCTTGAGCTGCAGCTTCTCATCACAGCGGATGATCCTCCGTGGCTCTTTCGGTTCTCTGGCCTTTTGTTTGGCTGGCTTCTGTGGCCTTCAGTTCTACTCCATATGATGGAAAACCGCTACACTGGCACTTTGGGTTTCTGTTTGGTTTATGCTGTTCCTTCCCTTTCTTTTCTTTTTTCTTTTTAAAATCTATCCTTTTGCTTTATCTAGATCTAGGTTAGTATTGGCCTGTCTTTGAGCTTTCTTAATTTTTCTCACCTCCACTGAGAAATCTGCTCCTCCTTTAGATAATAAGGTTCATAACAGGACTTTGTCTGCCATGTTTACATTTATGTGTGCAGCATAAAATTTTCTTTTGACTACCTTCTGGAGGAGAGATCCATTTCATTTTTACAGAAGAAAAGTTATCCATTCTGGGTCAGGCATGGTGGCACATACATTTAATCCCAGCACTCAGGTGGCAGAGGCAGGTGGATCTCTGAGTTTGAGGTCTGCCTGGACTATATAGCAAATTCCAGACCAGTTAAAGTTACATAGCGAGATCCCGCCCCCCCCCCCGCCATTCTCTCTCTCTCTCAAATTATGCATTCTATATCTCATTCTTTTTTTGTCATGTAGGTCAAGTGTAAGACCTAAAGCACATTCTCGCGGAACAAGAAACCACCAGCTGCTGACTCCTAAACCGCTGAATTACACAGCAAATACCACTGTTCTAACTAATGGTGAATCTATAATGTGTGAAGAAAGGACTTTTGAATAATTCCAAAGAGTTTTTCAAAAGGATGCCTCTAAAATTACTCCCCAGGTCGACAACAAAGTAGTGCTATGCAAAAATTACAATTTAAAAATTACAAGCGACTTACAATTCGTTTTTCCCAGAATTTGTACTTTGTGCTAGTTAACAGCAGCTCCTTGGTAACTGGAGAACAGTACAGGAAAACCTTCAAACTGAAAGCAAAAAAAAACAAAACAGAATGGAAGAAAAGCTGTTTCAGCAGAATTCACAACAAGTCACCTTGGTGGGTCAGCGATGCATTTCATGGGCTATGATCTTTCTCCAGCAAATCACAATCAGTTAACAGGGAAAGTGTGACGGCAGTGGCTGCCATGACTTGGCTATAAAAGCCCCTCTAAAACCCACGTGCTAAGGCTTGGTGTCCAGGACAGTGTTCAGAAAGAGGCGGGGCTTTGAGGTATGGAAGGCCTCTGACCAAATGCATGGATAAACCCTGAGATGGAGTCATGAACCTATGTGACAGCATTACTGGAGGCGGGGCTAATGGGGGAGGACGTCCCCCGGGACACATCCTTGGCAGGTAGACCTTATCCCCGGTCCTCCCTGTCTCTTCCTTTCTGCTTCACGGCAGGAGGGACCAGCTTTCATCTGCCCTGTCTTTTGCCACGTTTTTGCCTTGCTGGGAGCCTAAGAGCGCAGGAGCCACCAGGAAGCAAAGTAGATCTTCCCTCAGGCGCCTCACCACAGCCACAAGCTGGCCAACAAAGTACCGGTATACCATCACCCATTTCAGTCCCGTCACCATGCAGGGTCCTCCCCTCCCTAAGAAGCGCATCGCTTCTCTTCTGTTGAAACCATGTGCTGGGGGCTTAATGTGTAGCCTAGCAAATGAGCCCCCATCATGAAAAGAGGAAAAAAAATAAAGCTTGTATGTGGTCAGGTACAACTAGGAAGGACACCACCAAATGTTAAGTTATTCTAGGAAACAGAAAGAGGGTGCTGGGAACAGAGGATTCTGCTTTTTGCTTCATATAAACCTACTTTTCTGTGTATGCTGAAGAGCAAAGCCAGAGCCTTGCATAGCCAGCCGCGCTCTACCCCTGAGCATCACCTCCAGCCCTTGTATTTACATTTCTAGTGAACAGATACTAATTTCTATGAAATTCTAAAAATGTCATGGTATAGATTGGCGATTAGGAATACACTCCATGCTGAATTATATTTCCACACACTGTATACTCCATCTGTTTGTATTCTTTGAGGTACATAAACCAGGGCTACATGGTGAGACTGTGTCTTGAACACACCTATCCACACCCACACATTTCCACCCTAACAGGAGCGGCTTATGAGCCCTCATTTTGAAATGGGCAGATCTCTGTAACTGCCTTGACTACAGAATATGATGGAAGTAATTGCAGGACTCTTTTTGTTTTTGTTTTAGTACAAAAGTATTTGTATTTAAAATACAAATACTGTATTTTTTTTTTAAATATAAAACCAGCACATGGTTTTAACATAAGAGAAGCGATGGGCTACTTAGGGAGGGGAGGACCCTGCATGTCCCCTCCTCCTCCTCAATGACAGGTCTGAAATGGCTGATGGTATACTGGTACTTTGTTAGCCAGCTTGTCGCTGTGGCAAGACACCTGAGAAAAACCACTTCAAAGGGGGAAGATCTACTTTGCTTAAAGTAGATTTTGTTTTAATACCACGATCTACGTTGAGACAGGGTTTCTCTGTGTAACAGCACTGGCTGTCCTGGAACTCACTATGTAGACCAGGCTGCTCTCAAACTCACATGAATCTGTCTGCCTCTGCCTCTCCAGTGCTGGAATTACAGAGGCATGTCACCACACCTGGCAACTACAAGATGGTTAAAGCGTGCTCTCCAGACAATATGCCTGCCTCCTGACTCTCCCTTGGGATTTGTTTTGTTTATTTTGACAGGGTGTTGCTATGTCATCCTGGCTAACCCGAAATTACTATGTAGACCAGACTGGCCTCAAACTCACAAAGATTTGTCTGTGCCTCTGCCTTGCGAGTGCTTGGACTAAAAGCCTACTTCACCGTAGCTCTCCCAGGATGCAAAAACTACCTATCCCGGGTTAAAGAAGCCTCTCAGAGACAGACAAGCTCAGAAAGCCAGCTATTCTAGGCTTTGTTGCTGTTACACGCTTCCTTCCAAGTTTCAGACACTCGAGTCTTCAGATTTCAGTCCCACCAGGCAGGCAGAAAGGAGCAATCCCCACTGTACACAATTCCGGATGCAGAGGAACTGAGAGACTGGTGTTATCTTAAAACACTCAGTTACAAGGTAATGCTACAAGGCCATAGATAGCTGATACGTAGGCTCTGACATCAGGCAGACCTGGATAAAAACCTGGTCCTGCCACTCACTGGACCTATGACACTGAGCAACTCATTTAATCTGTTCGGCTTCTTAGTATCCTCATCTGTAAATCAGGAATAACAATAGTACCTATTGAAAGGTTATCAAGAGGTTCTGATGAGTATAACGGCTCCACCTGGACAACTGCAGTCTCAATCTCCACCATACCTGGCCCATCACAGCAGCCGGGGCATCTTGTTAGTCTAGGATTCTCGAACAACCACTCATATACATAAACATACACACAAAAATGAAAGCAACGCAGATGGGCCACAGAAATACAATGTTAAGACAAAGTTGGAGCTGGAGAGTTGGCTCAGCAGTTGGGATAGTTGCTTTTCCAGAAGACCCAGGTTCAACTCCTAGCACTCACATAGCCACTACAAATGTCTGTTACCCTGGCACCTTCTGGCTTCTGTGGACACTGCACATATGTGGTATGCATATATACTATATACCCAGGCAAAAACAAGCATTTACATGAAACAAAAATAATGAAGTTTTGAAAAATGTTTAAGAAGAGTTTTTAATCTATAGAGTATATGATCCTATTTACTTATTTTTATTTGTTTTTGACAAGTTCTTACTATGTAACCCAGGCTGGCCTTGAACTCACAACCCTCTTGTTTCCTCAGTGTGGGGGTTACACCACCACGTCAAGTCTTCTACTTATATAAAATTCAAGAATAACCAAAGTTGAACCACCATAACAAAAGGTCAAAATAGGAATTAGTTCTGGGAGAAGGAGCAGCAGTGATAACACAGGGTTCCTGGGATATTGGTAGTAGTGTTCGATTTCTTATTGGTAGGGAAGCTAGATAGTGTTTATACAGGCTTATCAGGCTACCCCTTATGGTGGAAGTACTGTTCTGTCTAGGTGCTATCTCTTAGTTAAGATGGCTACTTATATGCAAATAAGTAACAAAAATCAATTACCTGCATTCCAGCCTTCTTTTCATGGAAGGAGCCCTCAATCCTTTCATGTGATCTACAAGGAAAATAATCAGAAATCATAAACACGTTTTGTTTCACTTTTTAAAAAGAGGATTCGTCAGCCCACGACAGCTGGGCTGTCTTTGTGGGCTTCCTATTGAGAGACATTACATAAGGCTCACTGTTATGAGAAAATTGATCCCACAGGTCAATGTTTCGGAGTACAGAGCAGGAACCACTAAAAGTTGTCCACCTGAGCAGATGAAAACAAGCCCCACATGGCTGAGGAGACCGAGGCAGGCAAGTGCTAGGAGGAGAACCTATGTGAACTGATTTGATGACACCAAGGATATGAGAACTTTGCCAGATAACCTAAAAAAGTGATATAAGAAGAAAAATGAGGGGCTGGAAAGATGGCTCAGAGGTTAAGAGCACTGGCTGCACTTCCAGAGGTCCTGAGTTCAATTCCCAGCAACCACCTGGTAGCTCACAACCATCTATGAGATCTGGTGCCCTCTTCTGGTGGGCAGGCATACATGCAGACAGAACATTATATACATAATAAATAAATTAAATTAAAAAATGCTGCGAAGAAGAAAAAAGAAGGAAGAAGAAGAAGAAGGAAGAAGAAGAAGAAGAAGAAGAAGAAGAGGAAAAGAAGAAGAAATGATAAACCGGGCGGTGGTGGTACATCCTTTAATCCCAGCACTCAGGAGGCAGAGGTAGGCGGATCTCTGTGAATTTGAGACCAGCCCCTGGTCTACAGAGTGAGCAGAGTGAGTTCCAGGATAGGATCCAATGCTACACAAAGAAACCCTGTCTCAAAAAAAAAAAAAAAACCAAAAAACCAAAAACAAACAAACAAACAAACAAAAAAAACCACCTGCCCAGGTTGTGTGTGTGTGTGTCGGAGAGAGATAGAGACAGAGAGAGACACACACACAAAGAAATAGAGAGATTAGTGTATGACATATTGTGAGAGAGAGAGAGAGAGAGAGAGAGAGAGAATGACAGATAGGCAGGCAGGCAGGCAGACACAGATAGATCTCAGGCTCTTACCTAACATCTCGGGGTGTAGAAGTTTTGAAACATATTTTCTTTACGCGTGACAAACGAGTTAGGGAGGTATGGGCAAGAGCTAACTAAACCTTACCAAACCTCTCTTAGGATAGCAACCAGCACTTCTAACAGCTTAGCCTTACCACAGGGTCCTGTCAGATTGCAACCGGAGTAAGGGTTACAGAGGTCGTACTGAACTCAATAAAGCAAAGGCGAGGCTAAGAGCAGACTGGGACCAGGGGTGCTTTCCAGTGCCTCGCTGGGTCCGCGGCCTGCTCTCCCCTTGACCAGGCCCCGACCTTTCGTACCATCTCCAGCCTCAGTGCCCTCGCAGTAGACAGCAAGAGGGGCTCACTCACCCTTGTGACAGTGCGAAAGGAAGTAGGCGCGGGCTTTCAGGTTCTCCCGGTCAAAGCGGTCAATAGAGATGGTTGGATATTCCACCATCTGTCCCTGGAAGGAGCTCATAGCGCCAGGAAGGCTAGCCCCTAAGCCCGCCGCGGAAGCCGAGCTGCACACTGATCCTGGGTGCCGCCACTTCCGGGAACCTGTGCACCGCCTCCCATAGGCCGGTCGAGCCCAGCCACGTCCAATCAAAGGAGCCTTGGGGCTGGGGGCAGAGCTAAAAACATCCAGTCCGGTCCCCGCGTCCCAGGACTCTCGGTTTAAATAACTGCAAGAGCTGTGCACTAGCTTAAGTAGAACCGTGAACAAGCACCAACAGACTCTATTAACGAAGAGTCAGAAGCCGTTTTCTCATCCTGCCCTCGTGGTTATCCTGTAAAATACAAACTGGGAGAAGAGGAAAAAAGGAAAAAGAACCCGATCTTCTGTTGACAAGAGGAAATGCAAGGCTCACTGAGCGTGTCGCTATCTCACAGCAGGTCACTGGAGAGTCGCGTTCCTGCCAGAAAGCAACAAAGGAAACCAAAAGTGTTTGGTGCACTGGTGCAGAGCTGCCCGCATCTGTGGAGTAATCGATGCAGGAAATAAAACATAGCTGGAAATAGTGGCCAGGGAGCTTCCCCTTTTCTAATAACACTGCCTTGCATTTCCTCTTGTCAACAGAAGATCGAGTTTTCCCCTTTTCCCCCCTCTTTTCCCAGTTTGTATCTTACAGGATAACCACGAGGGCTGGATGAGAAAACGACCTCTGACTCTCCGTTAATAGAGTCTGTTGGTGCTTGTTCACAGTGTGCATAAGCTAACTATGTCTTGAAGGCTACAATTCAGACGTAGATTCTTAGAGGAAAAGAAAAATAAAAGATCCTGTTGATCTGTTAGCCTCCAGTAATCATTGGAGCTGTATTTTTAGGAAGCCAGAAGGATGTCTATAAAGAAACGGAGGGAAGAGGACGATGTTTGGGAAAGTTCATGGAAACACTAATAAGATCCACCAAAGACTTTTGTCAGTGGTCTTTATTGTCTCTTTCCTAGCAAGTTCTTCTTAGATGCTGTTGTTCACAAACAACCGGAACCTCCAAATCTTGCTATGCTGAACACTTCGACAAGCCTTATGGAAGTGGGAAGGAAAATTCCCAAAAGGGCAGGGAGCTAATTACCTTATCTGGGGCTACTTCTCACCCTTGGAAATGGCCATTCCTTGTCCACCTCTGTGTTGGAATTAACCTCTTGTGACTGACAGATGAGAACCTTTTGGATCTATTAACCTAGTGGACCACTAGTTTCCACCAACCCAAAAGCTAAGAATGTTGTCAGACAGCACCTTGGGCCTATACAAGAGCTTCCCCGCCTTCTCTGTATCTGCCTCTCTGGTGTGTCCAGAATTTTTGTTGTTGTTGTTTTGTTTTGTTTTAAGAGATGGGTTCTCTGTGAAACCGTCCTGCTGTTCTGGAACTCACTTTGTAGATCAGGCTGTCCTTGAACTCACAGAGATCTGCCTGCCTACTGGGATCAAAGGTATGTACCACCACAGCCCGGCTCAGAAATGCATTTTAAACATGCCTTGATTTATGACTTTCTTTGTTATATAATACTTCACAAAGTTGTTTCCACATTGGAAAATAGAATTTAGGGTGACCTAAGTCTGTGTTCCTGGCCCATGGTCACTTAAAGGAACTCCAAATAAATGCTTCTTCCCTGTGAGATGAGAGCTACGGGTCGACAGCGGTTACAGCTGACTAAGATACGCCTTCAGAGTTCAGCACACTCGAAAAACCACGGAAGTGAAGAATATGCCAAACAGTATTTCCCAGAGAGAGAAGTGATCCTGGAATAATGCCAGGAATAAGTTATGAGGAGACAGGCCAGAATGACACGATCAGATAACATTTGCTTGCTCTTGCAGCCATAACAGTTCCATCCCCATACAGATTTTCATAAAGAGGAATTGGGGGGAAGAAGGAAGGCAGGCAGTGGAGGGAAGTAATCTAGACATAGTCACTGATGTACACATTTTACCACAGCAGAACTAACAAAGCCTTGGTTTTGTATAAGATGGTCTGTCTTAGGATAACGAGGACTATTGCTGTGGCTGGGTTGCCCATACAGAACAATAAATTCTGCATTGAGTCTGGTTATCTGCAGAATTGTTCCTAAGTTGAAACTCCTCAAGAGGAAAGGCAAAATAAGGTTCTTATTCTTGTTTATTTGTTCACTTCTTTCCTCTTTATCATGTATACAGTAGGAAATAATGGTGAGACTCAAGTTATCAATGTAAGTTATCAATGTAAGCAACATGTACACTTAGACTCTTACAGCTTAACTTTTCCACTCAAGAATCTTTCCTTTTACAAGTTTTTACACAACACCGAACACATATGACACAGGCAATCAAACCCAACATTCGCTTATAATAAATTATAAAGAGATCTATTTGAAAGCAATTCTTTGGTATGGCGTTGCGTGGCATGATAGCGTGTGTAATGCAGAGAGTGTGTGTTTTGTGTTTAAAATTGAGACTGCTGGGTATAGTGGCACAAAGCAGAGGCAGATGGATCTTTGTGTAATTGGAGCCGGCCTGGTCTCCATAGCAAGATCCAGGTCAGTCAGAACTACACAGTGAGACCCTGTCTCAAAACGACAACAAACTCTAGAACTGAGACTTCGGGAAATTAGGCAATTTGACACAGATGCACCTTGGTACAATCACCTGGAATTGATCATGTAATTGTTTTTGAGCTTATTTTCGGCCATCGTGGGCTCAGATTTTTTTCCTTTTTTTACAAAAACAAGGCAGGGAGAAAAGGCATGAAGGGTGGAAGTGAATTGCTGGGATGTCTGTGGAGCATGGGAGGAAGGGCTGGATGTGGATATAATCAAAATATGTTGTCCATGGCTGGAGGGACAGCTGAGACGTTGAGACTTCATACTGCTCCCGCAGGGAGATCAAGTTCAGTTCTCATGTCTCATATTGGGTGTCTCAAAAATCACCTGTCATTCTAATTCCAGGGGATCCAATGCCCCAGGCTTCCAGAAGTATCCACGTTCAGATACACACACACACACACACACACACACACACACAGAGAGAGAGAGAGAGAGAGAGAGAGAGAGAGAGAGAGAGAGAGAGACTTAAAAATACTGTTTACATGTACGAAATCTATATGAAATAATACACAGCTCTCAGGAAAGGAACCAAAGAAGCTACTGTCATATTCCAGGAAATCTGATGGTCAAAATTTATTCATTTCTTCAACAAACAGTGACTCACGCTCTATCATGTTACAGACCCTGAGCTAAACACTAAGGCACGGTGTTGGCAAGTAAAGTAGTCAAAAAAACCTTTGTTTGTAGACTGCAGTAGTTTATCACTGTCCCTTGTGTGGGTCCAGATGCCATCAGTCTTCTGTACTTCACTTTCACAGCAACCCTAGCAGAGAGGTTCATTTTTGTTATTTAAGGTTGTGGAAGTTGTTATGGAAATTGTACAAGGTCACGTTCTCAATAAGCAGAGTCCAGATTTACATTCAAGGCCACTGTGTTCTGAAGAACCTCCCGCATAACTCCCTTGTCATCCTGCTTCCTTCATTGCTTCAGAGCGGAACCAGCAGCAGTGCAGTGGTGAAATGCATGTATTCATCCTAAGCATCCTCTATTTGCATCTACTGCACGCTAGGAGCTGTTAGGCCATCTGTGATCCAGGACTACAGAGGAAGACAGCAAATCTGAATGGGTAATATGCAAATTCCTAAGTCTTTACTGGCCTTGTAAATCTCTGAGAGGTTTCTTGTTGTTTTGTTTTTACTGAGAATAAAATAGAAAGCTATTGCAGGGACCCAAACCAAGCCCAAGACTGACATAATCTGACTTAGGTTTTAAGTGGGTTGTGCTGACTATTGTGTTGAGTGGAGGTGAGGAGAGATGCTGGGAATTACTGTAATCACAAGAGAAACTGCGAAGATATGGCTTTTTGGACTTACATGGAGATCTCAAAGCCAACAGGTCTCAGTGATGGGTGGACTAAGAGAAACAGAGAGCACCGGGCAACAGCTATTCAAAGTGGAAGACGTGGAAGCAGCAGAATTTCCTTTGTTTTGGGGGAAGAGGTTGGCTCTGGATGTAGAGTACAAATTGTACAGATAAATCTAAAATTCAGAGATATATCTTGGCTAAGGAAATTAATCTGGGAGTTATAAACAGATCCTTTTTATTTTTAGTATTTAGTGACTCTTTAAAAAGAATTTTGCAGAATTTAACCCGTGGGGGGAAAAAAACAAGGCTTGTGTTTACCTGGCTCACAAAATTCTTACATTCTGGGAATTTTCAGTGAACTGGCTCTCACTCATCGTCCTTTTCCCTTTCACCCTCTACTTATTAGCAAATCATCATGGCTCTCCACTCAAAAATACCGACCTTGAATCACTTTTCACCGAAATAGGTGATATATTAAGTGTTAGTGAAGATGCTGTTGGGAAAATAAAGCTATAGATGTTAGTTAACTTTCATTTAGTCATTACCAGACACCATGGCGGATGGATTACTTGAATCTATACACACTGACAGTTATCTTTTATCAGGATCCAGAACCTCTGCGATCTCTACTCTCTCAAAGGCTTTCATATAACGCCTCTGAGTCTCCGCCTCATCGCAGCAGTGAACAGTTCCCAGCTGGTGCATTCCACTGTACAGAACACAGATGTCCTCGCCCAGTCTAGCCCTTAAAGTGCACACAAACCCCAAGAGCAGGGGGCGGGGCCTGAAGGAGCTGGGCGTGGCCTACGCGAGCGGGCGGGGTGGCGTCACTGCGTTGCTAGGAGACGAGCCGGCGGCAGCGGCCGCAACAGTTGGCCCCTGGCTGACTCAGCCCACAGATCCCGAGTAGAGAACGCGAGCACCGCAGCACCCTCCAGCGAGGCCGGCTGAACCAGGGTAACCGCGGATAGCGGGAGCCGGGCCTGAGCGGATGGGCAGCGAGGACCCGGGCCCTGACCATCGTGCCCCTGGCTCCGTCCTGCCCCGGGAGCGCAAGCCCCGCCCCTTCCGCCCGGCCACCCTGGTACCTGGGTTTTCTGTCTTTTAGGGCGGGTCTTTATTTGGCCCTTCCTACATCTTCGGATAGGCTCCCCAGCTAAACTCTTCTGCTTCCCGAGGCAGCTCATGTAATGGCTTTTCCATTTAATGCCCGGGTTCAGAGGACTGTGTCTAGCCCTGCTTCTTCTGGGCAAATTATACCTTACAGAAATCGTGATTTATGGCAAAAAGAAAGTGGTTTCTGGCAGACAGAACGCTAACTGTGGGAACGCTCTTAAGGGTGGCTTTATGCTCCACAATCGCTAATTTGCACACCTGGGCTGTGGATCGACCATTGGGGAGTGCTTGGGGTTGTGGGGCGGCACTTTGACTGGGTTCAGAAAATGGTGTTCTGTTTCGGACACAGTGTGAGAACTGGGTTCAGATTAACAGTCACGTTCATTATCTTGGCCAAGGTTTACGTATAGTTTAAAGGGATCCTCAGTTATATTCTCCCACCGGCTTGGAGCACAGATAATAAATTAATGTGAGGAGAGTTGGGGCCGTTAGATTAGGCATGTTGTCATGTTGTGTTATTAGCGTTAAGGGACAATAGCTTCAGCGACAGCAGGCAGGATCGATCCCTAAAACACTCATCAAAGAGACGCTCAACGTGAAAAGTAGAGCAAGATGTAATTAAGGTGGCACACGGCCAAGAGCGATAAGGAAAAAGGTCCTGGGACCCAGGTTTGTGACATAAGCTCTAGGGTTAAGGAGAGGAAGAAACTAAGTAGGTCATAAGAGGGGGATGCATAACAAACCGTCCCATTTAAGTTGTGGGTTTCCTGTTGTAGAACTTGCGGTGACTGGCTACATCACAGGTGTCTGCTTTTACATTAGAGCCTTCATTTCTCAGGGCCTTGAGTTTGGTGGCATGTTTTTCCCCTCCCAGTACACATATAGCCCTTAATAGTGCTTAATGAAATTCAGTTTCTAAAACGTAGACACTCAAGCATTGCCACTTCCTGTTTGTAGTGATACATATATGTATTATAGAAAATATGTATTATATAATATTTTTTCATTCACTATTTTAAAATGCTATGCATAGGTATTCTTATGTGAGCAAAACTAGAAAACGACTGTTTTTACACAGCCTTACAAAAACAGAAATATATATATATATTTGTTATTGTGGTAGTATCTTCACAGAGTAAAAATTAATGAAAAAGTATTCCTTTCACAAAAGACTGAGGATTCTTTTTTCCTGGCAACAAGTCTAATATTGAAGCATTGATATTTGTATATCCTTTACATCTGATGACATTGTTAGTCTTGCTTTGCAGTTATGAATTTTAAAACAACTTTGTGCTATTTCAAAGATTCACCCATTCTTTACGAAAGGCAGTAGAATAAAATGGACAAAAAAAAAACCCCAACATGCTTCACCAAAAATATTTGGGAGAATAGCCGTTTTTAAAGAAACATCAGGCCTGAACATCACCATTAATCAGGGGAGAAGACAGCTAAATAATATCCCCAATTTATTAGCACACATTTATAACAGCATTCCATAAAACTAGGTGTGATACAAATGCCTGAAATCCCATCTCTTGGGATGTGAAGCCAGGAGGATCAGAAGTTCAAGATCATCCTCAGGAGTTCGAGCCTGCCTTGGACAATATGAGATCCAGTGTCAAAGATAAAATAAGTGTCTTCTGGTTACAAACAAATTTATATACAAACCTCTTGCCTGGAATTTTACAAATCTCATCTCTAGCATAATAATAATGCCCACAGGTAAATTTCTCGCACTTCCATGTAGGCACTGTTTTCTCATTCTCCTTACTTCTGTGCACCCGGTTAGACTATGAGCTTAAGTTCCCCTGCATCAATCAATCCAAAAGTAACAGTGAGCATCCTTACCCAACAGAAGGTCCAGCAGCAGCGCCACATTTGGATTTGCTCGTGAGTCCCTGGCTGTTCCCAGGTCAGCTCTTTGCATGTTGACTTCCTTCATACTACTATGTACGGCTTTAGCAGGAGCTTGGGTCGCAGACTACAGGGATTCTGAGGTCATCTGCACTGCTCGTCAGCTGTGAGTTTCTTACTCATCTGTTCTTGCCTTGACAATGAAATATTTTGAAGGAACTCCAGAAGATTACACTGAACTTCCTCAAAAAAAGACCTGCTCAAAAAATACATTGATGGAGACTCTAAACCCTCTTCTTGAAGCGTTGAGTGTGGTGGGATGCAAACCGGTTATGCTGAATGCTTTTTTTTCCCAAGACTACCCAATGTAGACCTTGCTCTGTGGACCACGGTAAGGATCATAGACTATCCCATGGCCATCTTACTCATGTCCCTAACCCTCCAGGGCTGCATCCTGGTGTCTTTCTCAGGTTTTATCTGGAATGGTTGTGATATATTTTATTATCCGGACTTCAACAAGATGTACTTGTGTCCTAGCATGTTAAGTCTGGTCAGTAATTCCTCCAACAGTTTCTGTAGTTTTAACTGTTTCATGGAAGCTCGGGTTTGGCTCAATTGCTGGGGAAGAAGTTTCCTGTATGCTAAACTGCACTTCCATCTATGTTTCCTCCTTGGCCAAATAAGCTGCTTCTGGATCTAGCTATATATCTTTCCAGTAAACTTCATAATCAACCAAGGAACACTTGGCTGCCATAGTTTCTTCCACCTTCTGATTTGTTGATCTGTATGGGTTTGTTTACAAGTTCATTCGGGGCCCTCCCATCCCTCCTGGTCTTCTAGAAGCAGAAGTAAAGGCCTTCAGTTCAAGCCTTATCATGAACCCTTGCAACAAGTTCCTGACTGGACAGAAATACTTGCTGAATTGACGAAGAGAAACACCACAGCATTTCTTAAGAAGAGATGTGGAACTTTCTTTAGAAGTTGAGAAAAAGGGAAGAAAATCTGAAATCCCTATTACTAACCTAAAAGGTAAGGCTCCTTACTGGATAAATTGAATACTCCATGAGTACAAGGCTACATCTCCACAGGGGCAGGTACAAGGGAGCAACCACCGAGGGAGCAGGCCTGAGCCAGAGACCTCTTTGGGGCTGGGCCCAAGCCAAGGGCCTCCATGGGAGAAGGCCCGAGCCAGGGATATCTGTGGGAACACGTATGAGCTAGTAACCTCAGCCAGAGCAGGCTTGAGCCAGCCACATCAGCAGGAACAGCCTCAAGCAAGCAATTTCCACGGGAGCAGGCCAGAATGACCCTCGAAGAGCACAGAGACTGGGAACACCGAGTGACCTCTCGGGTGACTAGACCTGTGGCCTGACCTCTGGGGTGACTGGAACTGTGGCCCTGACTGCACCACAAGGAGCAACCATCTGAGTCTTGGATACCCTGGCTCTTGGAAGATTGATCACCAGAGACACAGGCCAACTTTATCAATTAGAGGAAAAGATTGATAGACAAGGTAGGAATATTCTCAAGACCACAAATAGCAACATGACACCAATGAAAACTAGTGACCCTACAACAGCAAGACTTGAACACCCCAATAAAGATGAAGCAGAAAAAAATGACCTAAAAATAACTTTAGAAGAATATTTGAGGCCCTTAAAGAGGAAATGACAAATCTTTCAAAGAAATGGAGGAAAAGACAAACAAACAATTGGAAGAAATCAACAAATCCATTAAAGAAAACCAAGAAAAAGCAATCAAACTGATGAAAGAAACTATTTAGGACTAGAAAACTGAAATAGAGACAATAAAGAAAATACAAACTGAGGGAATTATAGAAAGATAAATCATGAGAAAACGATCAGGAACCACAAATGCAAGCATGAACAACAGAATACAAGAGATGGAAGAGAGAATCTCAAGCACTGAAGATACAATAGAAGAAACAGACTCGTTGGTCAAAGAAAAAATTAAATCTAATAAAAGCTTAACACAAAATATGCAGGAAATATGATACATGAAGAAAAGACAGAGCCTAAGAATAATAAGGGATAGAAGGAGAAAAGTATAGCTCAAAAGTACAGAAAATATATTCAACAAAATCATAGAAGGAAACTTTCCTAACCTAAAGAAAGATAATGCATATGAAGATACAAGAAGATTACAGAACACCAAATAGACTGGATCAATAAAAAAAAAGCTCCCCTCACCACATAATAATCAACACACACTAAACATATAGATTAAAGAAAGAATATTAAGAGCAGCAATGGAAAAAGGCCAAGTACCATATAATTGCAGACCTATCAGAATTATACCTGACTTCTCAATAGAAACAATGAAAGCCAGAAGGTCCTGGTCAAGTGTTATGCAGACATTAAGAGACCAAGGATGCCAGCACAGACTACTATATCCAGCAAAACTTTCAATCACCATAGACAGACAAAACAAGGTATTCCATGGCAGAACCAGATTTAACCAATACCTAGACACAAACCCAGCCCTACACAACATACTAAAAGGAAAACTCCAACCCAAGAAAGTTGACTACATCCACAAAAACACAGACAATAGATGATCTCACAGCAGCAAATCCCAAAAATGGGAAACACACACACAATAACATCATCACCAACAAAAACTAAACAGGAACGAGCAATCAGTGGCCACTAATATCCCTTACTATGAATGGGCTCACTCACCTATAAAAAGACACAAGCTAACAGATTGCATACGAAAACAGAATCCATCTTTCTGCTACACACAAGAAACACATCTCAACCTCAAAAACAGACATCATCTCAGAGTAAAGGGTTAGAAAAAATGGACCAATCAAATGGACCTAAGAAACAAGCTGGTGTAGCTATCCTAATATCTAATAAAATAGATTTCAAACTAAAATCAACCAAAAGAGACAAAGAAGTACATTTCATATTAGTCATAGGAACAAATCTATCAAGAGGAAATCTCAATACTGAACATCTATGCCCCAAATACAAAGGCACACTCATATGTAAAAGAAACACTTCTAAAGCTAAATCACACATTAAAACCCACACACTAATAGTGGAAGACTTTAACACTCCCCTCTCACCACTGGACAGGTCAGTCAGA